GCAATCTGGGCTACACAATAAGATTCCATCTCAAAAAAAAAAAAATCCGTGGATCTGGGATGGCATTGGATCTCAGTGGGTAGAGCGCTTGCCCAGCAAGTGTAAGTCCCTGGGTTTCACCCGAGTGCCACATAAATAGGCATGGTGATGTATCGAGGACTTAGGGGGTCCAGGAAGAATCTACAACCAGCTGATAATTAATCTTTGATGAAAAGAAATGAATCTATGTACATGAAACTCCTTGGTCCATACACTTTATTATTCTGTGTGAGTTCTCTCTCTACACAGCTTCTATTATCTTTTAGCTCATTTCTTGCCTGATTTCTCTCTATATTCATCTACTGCTCCCTCCAAGTTCTATCTTAATTCTCCCTCATCTAGGTCCTTTTCATCTTGCTCTTACCCAGCTAGTACTTCCCCATCTGGCTCTTCCTCATCTTCCATCTTGTCCACACATTCTCTTTGGTCAAAATCTTCCTTATCCCTCTCTGTTCTCCATCTCTAAGTTCTCTCAGTTGTCTATGTACCTCCTAACTCTCCCCAAGTCTCTCTGGAATCCAGTTATAAACCCAAGCAATGTCAATCCCCTGGTCAAGCAAGGTCACCAGGTTTGAATTCTAGGGGTTCATGCAGGCAGGTAAGAATTTCCCTCAGGCAGTGAAGTCAGGCTTTCTTTTACAACCCAAAATGGGAGTGGTGAAAGAAGAGGTCAACTGAGTGCTAATGACCAGTTAGTATATGAAAAAGGGGGTCTATGTGCTCAGTCTACATTCCTAGAAGTGGTTAGGTGTACCTAGAGAGTTTCTCTCCAGCTCCTGCCAAGCCCCAGCAGTCCCACAGCCCACTTATAAAATAAACACACAGACTCTTATATTATTTAAACTGTTTGGCCTAATGGCTCAGGCTTCTAGCTATCTAGTTCTTATATCTTAAATCAACCCATTTCTATAAATCTATACCTTGCCACATGGCTCCTGGCTTACCAGTATCTTACATGTTGGTACTCATGGCGGTGGCTGGCAGTGTCTCCTGACTCAGCCTTCCTGTCCCCAGAATTCTCTTCTCTGCTTGTCCCACCTGTACTTCCTGCCTGGCTACTGGCCAATCAGCATTTTATTTATTCAGAGCAATATCCACAGCAGTTAGGTAAGTAGTTAGAGGTCTATAAAGTTAGTAAGGCTGTAAGAAAAGGAGGGTCTGAGCTAAATTGTGTAAAGCTATTACTTAAGGTCCACCTGACCTAGGCGGTATCTCCTTGTGGAATTCACCTTAAATCAGGAGACTAGCATGTGGTGGTCTCAACTGTTATTTCTGTTAGTCCTTGAAAGTGGCTAAGGGAGATGTCTGATTCCAGTGCTGAAAGGGGAGAAACAGATGGGCTGGGAGGAAGGAAGCCTTTCCTGAGGCTGTTCTCCAAACACCTTGAATGTATATGTCCAGATAGTGATCAGTCCACATTGTTAGCCCTTCTTAGGGAAAAAACAATTGAGAAAACTCTGAAGGCACACATGATTTTCATAACAGAAGACAGCTGATATACAACAAGCCAAGTAACACCAAAAGCTCCTTGGAATTTGGCTTCCTCTGGAGGAATTCCATGATCCCTCCAGGTAGTGACCTTGCCATAACCAGCTGAGTTCTTATGATATTCCTGCGGCCCGCAGCAGTGGTGCACACTTACAGTCCCAGAACTCCAGAGGAGGAAGCAGGAGGATCAAAGATTCAAGGCCAGTCTGGACTGCATAAAACCCTATTAGAAAAACAAACAAACAATCAAACAACCTGTGGAGGTGTACACTTAAAGATCAGGAAGATGGCTCGTGTATCATTATCTATCACTTGATATCACTATCAAACCTAGTGGCCCGAGTTCAATTCCCTGGTACCCACATGGTGGAAGGAAAGAACCAACCCCCACAAAATGTCCTTTCACATGTGTGTGCTGTGGCATGCACACACATCCACATAATAAATGAGTAAATAAACAAATGTAATATAAAAAACGTGTGCTTTGATGCCAGATAAACCTCATTTCATGATAGTATCATCAGGATTAAAGTAAGCTGCAATTTATAAGGGGCAAATTTCATCATTACAGAATATTGATATTAATATTAAATAATTTTTTTTCTCAATTGGAGCTTTATGAGGACTTTGTTAAAACTGATCTGGTTATATTTATCTATTTGTTTATTTTTGAGACAGGGACTCATGATATAGCTCTGACAGGCCTGGAACTTGCTGTGTAGACCAGGCTGGCCTCAAACTCCCAGAGATCCACCTGCCTCTGCCTCTCGAGTGATGGTACTAAAGGTGCATCACTGTGCCTCACCCTGGTTGTGTACAGGACATCATGAAATTGTCACTAAACCAGGAAATCCCTGTCACTTACTTTGGAGCCAGGGTGCCATGGCTCCAGTTGGATTTTATCCTCACTTTTGATTCTAAGCTCTTGGTTAGAATCTTCGTATATAAAAAAAATAATCCCAGCACTTGAGAGGTGGAGGCAGGTGGATCTCTGTGAGCCTGAAGCCAGCCTGGTCTATGCAGCGTTCCAGGATGACCAGGGCTATGTAGAGAAGAACCTGTATCAGTAAAATAAAATAAAATAAAATAAAATAAAATAAAATAAAATAAAATAAAGTTAAAACTTTAAAAGTTACAGTTGGGAAAGGTTGAGCAAAGTTTTTATACTATTTTTTGATGTGAAATTCTTACTTAGGAAGAAATTGTGATGGCCTTTGAGGGAAAATACACTGGATGATTTAATAAGATACTGGGAATGCATCGCCGTGTGTCAGCCAGGGTCTGCAATCCCTGCCACTCTCAGCTGGCTGGGTACTGATGGCAGAGGAAACTGAGCAGAGAAAACAATGGTTTTGTGTCTACTCTCCTCCTCCTCTTCCTCCTCCTCCTCCTCTGGTTTTGTCGAGACAGGGTCTCACTGTGTAGTGCTGGCTATCCTGGAACTCCCTCTGTAGCCCAGGCTGGCCTTGAACTCACAGAGATCCGCCTGCCTCTGCCTCCCGAGTGCTGGGATTAAAGGCAAGCACCACCACTGCCTGGCTACCTTTCTTCTTTATTTAAATGTTTCCTTAATAATTCCTGCTTGAAAAGCCTATTTTAGGCTGGAAAGATGGCTAGAAACTCAAGCATCTGCTCTTGCAGGGGACTCAGCACTTGAGTTACCTTCTGTCACTTCAGTTCTGGGGCATCTACTGACCCTTCTGGCTCATGTAAGCATTGCACTACCGTGTGCACACATACATATACACCCAACTTAAAAATAAGTTAATAATAACTTTAGATGGCTATTTAGTGAGCAAATATATTTGGAGTATCAATAGTAGAAGAGCTCTACACTTAAAGATCTGAATGCAAGTTGAGAATGGAGAAAACCCAGAGGATTGGTTGGCTCAGTTTATTAATCAAGATACTAAGCACCTATCATGAGCAAGCATCCTGCTGATGCTAGAATAAAGCATAGAATAAAAGACATACTGTCCCTGCCCATACGCAAGTTAGAGTTTATCCAGAAAATAACTTTAATTCTCATCATCAGTTTTGAGGAATAGTCTAACTCTTGTCCAGGCTGCCCTGGACTTCATTGTGTAACCTAGGTGGCCTTGGAGGCCACAGCTGTCTTCTGCTCCAGCTTATCAAGTCCTGTTCACAGGCTTAGAGCCACACCTTGCTTAATAACTAAAAAAGAGTCAGCAATAAAATGTGCAAACATTGCAAGGGAGACTGATGATGTGATTCTGCCCTCAAAAAGAGGCTCAAAGGTGGATGGAACTCTCCATGGGACTGACAAACTTAAGCTATCTGGTAGACTTCCAGTGGTTGCTATGCGGTCAGAGGCAGCCACCACAACCCCACTCACCTCAGCTGAGCCCACAGTCCAGCCTCCTATTCCTAGAATGAAGAGTGGGCCCCTCACCTCAGAGTAAAGCTGCTTTAAGTTTGCTGCCAACCCGCTGAAAATGGAAGAAGACAGACGAGTTAGACGACAAACGCCAAGATTTTCCTAGAGCAGATACAGCTTAGCTCATCTCTTATAAGAGAAAAATCGAAAGGAAAGAACTTTGTTTTTCTAGATCTATTCATCCTGTTTATAAAACAAAGAACAGCAAGGCAAAACAAAACAAAAATACAAGAAAATACCCACTAAAACAGATCAAAACAGTTTTTTTTTTTGTTTGTTTGTTTTTAAAGTATGGCTGGGTGGTGGCACATGCCTTTAATCCCAGCACTTGGGAGACAGAGGAAGGTGGATCTCTGAGTTCGAGGCCAGCCTGATGCACAGAGGGAGTTACAGGACAGCCAGGGCTACACAGAGAAATATTGTCTCGAAATCCACCCCCCCCCCAAAAGTATGTTTGTTTAGCTTCACGCCTGTGCGCATGCGGGTGCAGTGCCTGTGGTGGCCAGAAGAGGGCGTTGGACACCCCCACCCCCGGAATTGGAGCTGCAGGGGTCTGTGAGGCACCTATGGATGCTGGGAGCAGAAGCCCAAACCTCTGCAAGCGCAGCCGCTGCTTAGCGGTCTCTCCCGCCCCCGAACAATCCTTTCAATTCCAGAACTAACATAGTTCTAACCTCTTTAAAACAAAGTCTCACTGTGTAGCCGGGGCTGACCTGGAATCACAGGGATCCTCCTGCCTCAGCCTTCCCGGGGCTGGGATTAAAGGCGTTAGCTACCACCTGCAGCTCTAGTTCTGATCTTTAAAACAGTAAAGATAAACTGAACAAGAGATCTACATGGTTTTTAAAAAAACGTTCATCTCTTTCTTGACCAAAACAAAAAGTGAAAATAACCAGAGAGTTACAGGGTTTTTTTTTTTTCCTTTTTTTTTTTTTTTTTTTTTTTTTAATTCAGCAGTTGTAGACTGGAAAGTTGTGGCCTTTTTTTTCACTGTGAAGGATTTGGAGGCTGCAGGCGGGGGGGGGGGGGGGGGGGGGGCAGGGCCTCTTCCAGGCATGCGGACCCAAAGGCTGCACATCTGTTTTCAAGGCTTCCAATGAGCTGGCCACCAAGAAGTCAGAACTTTCAGTAAACGCCACGCTGTCGAGCTGGGCCCAGGAAGTCACGCACCGAAGGCCACGGAAATCCCCGTCCGGGGCTGCCACGGCGGGTGAGGAGGAAGTGCGTGTGGTTTTCACCCTGGAGTTCCCCGAGCCTGGGAGGAAAGCACCGCGGGCGGGCGGGCAGCAGCCTGGGCGAGCCGGCAGGAGCCAGGGCGGGCCAGGGCGGGGGCGGGCCGGGCGGGCACCACTTAAAGGCGTCGTGACACTCAGCCGCACCCCACAGGCCGGGCGGCAGGGGCCACCCCGGAGGTCGGCGTCCTTGCTGGCGTGGGGAGCCTGGGGAGCGGGCTGCGGTGAGTACGCGCGTGGAGAGCGGGGGAGGGTCCCCGAGGTGGCCCAGGGGTGGCTCCGAGGCCTGCAGAGCCGGCTGTGTGCACCTCGGTCCTGCGGGATGGTGACTTGCAGCTCTCCCCACTGCCCCCCGCTGCCATCCTCGCGCCTGCCTGGAGCTCAAGGTCTGTCTCCTTTTGGAGTGAGGCCGTGGAATTTTAATTCGACTGCTTCAAGAGGCATGGGGGGGGGGGGGCGGACTTGATACAGTGAGCTCAGACGGGCAGTGGGGTGTGTTAGTGATGAGCCTGGAAAAACACCAGGGCTCTTCCTTTTGGGAAAGTGATGTACGTAGGAGACTGGCCTCACACTATAGCTGAGACAGGCTTTGAACTCTGGAAAATCCTCCAGCCTTAACCCCTTGAGTGCTGGGCTTCAGCGTTCTTAATCTAGTTAGTAAATGGCTGTAGTCATTTCTCTGTCTACCACACGCCAAGTTCCGCCCTGAAGACTTGGACGTATATTTTACATTTAATCATCAATTGTAAGAAGTGGGCGCCGTTATTATCTCCATTCTGCACTGAGGAAACTGAGACGCATGTGGTTTTTCTGGGCATCACTATGTATCCCTGGCTGGCCTGGAACTCCGTAAGTAGAACAGGCTTTGAACTCAATGGAACATGGATATCTATCTACCCGCCTCTGCTCTGGAGTGCTGGGATTAAAGGTATGTCCGGCCACGTGGTGGTGTCCCTTGTAAAAGGGACTGACACCCTTCCTTGAAACCCTCTGATGTTTGATTCCAGAGCCTGGAAGTAAACTGCCAAGTTAGCAGTCATGAGAAATGCCCTTAGTAAAAGAAGGGGCGGTGGACACGGTGGCCCTGTCAGCTGTGCAAAGAATTCTGCAACAAGAAGTTTTGGTGGGATTCGCAGCACAGGCCTGTAATCTTAGCACTTGGGAGGTAGAGGCAGGAGGATTGGGAGTTCAAAGCCAGCCTGGGTTATATGTCTCCCACAACAGCAGCAAGCCTCAGGGTCTTTGCTAGGTCCTGTGGCTGCTACAGAAATGAAAGTGTACTTCCTTTTCTGAAGGAGATCTAGTCCAAGGAGAGGGAAACAGACACATTTACTCTGCTGTGTCGGAGAGGTGATCAGGCTGATTACCCCAGAGGGTGAGGACACCCAGCAGCCCTCCAGGTCTACTGGAAATGGTAGAGGAAGCAGAGAAGAGACAGGAGCACCAAGCTCGTCTGGAAGGAACCACTGTAAAGGAAAGAGGACTCCCACACACTGATGTGGACAGGGCCCGGGATCAGGACACGTTGAAGAGGAAGTAGGCCCCAGTGGCAGATGCCAGTGCTTCCTGTGGATTTGATGTTATGAATGTGGAGAGTGTTTGAAGGGATGTTGGTACACGGACTAACTGTGGTTGTGTGGAGGTGTGGTTCATAGACAGATGTTCTGTTGGCTTGGTTGTGGAGGGAGGGCCTGCCCCAGGAGAGGCTGGAGTGGGAAGCAGGCTGTGTTCCTTTGGAAGCTGACAGGGACTCAGCGTGAGTACTGTGTGGAAGGCCCAGGGCTGTGCAGGGTTTGAAGAGAAGTGGAGTCTGGTCAAAGCAGTGGGAGAGGGTAGGTCCATGAGGCACAGTTGTTTCTCTGAAGTGGCCAATAGGTTTGTGAACACAGGCAGGCAGAGGGCTGCACCTCTTTTCTGAAGAAGAGAGCCAATCGAGTCAATGTGAGAAAGGGAAATTGGAGGGGGCCGAGGGCTCCAGATGTTTCTGTAGATGCTGGTCAGCATGTGAAGAGAACAAGCCCTCCGGTGCTGGGAAGGGAAGCTAGTCTAGTGTCTATGGAAATCAGTGCAACATTTCAGAAAACCGAAACCACGACTACCATAGGACCCAGCTCGCCTCCTCCTGGATAGGCACGTGGAGGATGTAGGACAACTTGGGAGAGATTCCTGAGTGCCCCAGGTTGTAGTCACTGCACTGTTGTGTGAGGGGACATGACCAAGACAACTTATGAAAGCTTTTAACGAGGGCTTGCTCACAGTGCCGGAGGCTCAGTCCATGATCGTCCCTACAGAAGAGTGACAGGATGCAGGCAGCAGGCAGAGAGAACCTGGGCCTGGTGTGAGCTTTTGCAACTTCAAAGCCCATCCCCAGTGACACACCTCCTCCAACAAGGACACACCTCCTAATCCTTCCTAAACGGTCCACCACCTGGAGACCAGGCATTCAGATCTATGACCTCATGGGGGCCATTCTCCTTCAGACCACCACACGCTGTTTATTGCACTGTTCACAAATGGGACAGATTGAATGCCTGAGAACAGATACATGGATAAAGAAAGTGTGTGTGTGTGGACACTGGAGTAATATTCAGTTGTAAAGAGAATTAAAGGTATCATCTGAAGAAATAGATGGAACAGGAAATTGTGTTAAGCAAAAGAATGCAGAGGTTTAAAGACAAGCATGCCTTCACTTCTCTCAAGAGGGACTGTTACTAAAAAAGCTGGAGAGGTAGGAGGGGCAACAGAAGGCTGAAGAAAGGACCAAGGCACAGCATGGGCAAATGTGTAAATGTCACAATCAGATCCACTAACTTGTTTAATCAATATGCGTTAGTAATTCTTTTTTTTTTTTTTTTAATATCTACTTATTTTATGTATGAGTGCTTTATTTGCATGTATAACTTTATGCCAGAAGAGGGCACCAGATCTCATTATGGATGGCTGTGAGCCAGCATGTGGTTGCTGGGAATTGAACTCAGGACCTCTGGAAGAACAGCCAGTGCTCTTAACCTCTGAGCCATCTCTCCAGCCCCTGCATTAGGAATTCTAATAAAAACAATTAGAGGCTGAGTTGGTGGCTCATGCCTGTAACCTCAGAACTCAGGAGGTTCAGGCAGCATGTTACTGTGAGTTTACGGCCAGCCTGGGCTACAGACTGAGTACTAGGCCAGCCCGAGCTGTAGCGTGAGTATCTGTCTCAAAAAACAAAACAAAACAAAAGGCACATGAAGAGTAAAGTATTGTAACTCGTGAGAAATTGCTGCAAAGAGCATGGAGATGCTGGCCCAGTGGTTAGGAGTCCCCGGACGCTGCGTTTACAGTCAGGAATAAAGGGGTTTCCCTCCAGTTTTGTAACTGTACTGTTGTTATGTAAGATGTTGATTTTGGGAAGCTGAGTGCAAAGTGTGTGTGAACTCTGCAAGTTTTTTTAAAGTATAAATTAATTTCTAGGTATACACACATATATATTCCTATATATGGATCTCCATGAGCTCCGTCTGTAACTCCTGAGTTCTGTGTGAGATTTCTTGGCTCGATGTCCAGTGTAGCATTGTCTTCTCAGTGTTGGAGACTGAGGCAGGGCCTTGGGTGTGCTATCCACGTTCCCTACCACTGAGCCACACCTCCAGCCCAAATTAGCATAGCTTCTTGCTACACACCAGCCTCCATTTTGGAGAAAACATGTTAAGGGAAAGACCATGGTGGAGCCTGCTGGTCACCTTAGCGTTTGGGAAGCCGACAGGAAGGTTGTGAATTTGAGGCCATCTTAGACCACGTCAGGAAATCCCAGGCTCCAGAAAGAGGGAGTGGGGGAGAGAGGGAGAAAAAAGACCTTGTGTTACACCATGAGTTATTTGACCTTAATTTCTCTGTTTTAAACAGGTTGACAAAGGACACAAACCTCTACCACTTGTAGTTTTTTTCTCAGTTTCTTCTGTAAACCAAAACATCTCAAAATGGAGGCCTAAAACCCTTAAAAGGGACGTAGCCTAACCTTGGGAGGTAGTTTTGTGCATGGACAGACAAATTAATTTCTAAGTGGACTTTTGGGACTGTTGTTCAAAGATGCTCATTTAAAGCATGTGGTCTAATTCTCTGAGGTGTGCTTTTTATGATTTGGTTGTGAATTTGACTCCCAGAAGGGAAGGAGTTCTGTGGTGGGTGCAGTGTTGAAGTTGCCTGGCCCACTGGCTGGCATTTTTAAAAAAGTGCCTCTGTTCAAGATCCAAGCACAGTGCCGGTTATCCAGAGGAAGTGAGTCATCAGGCTTACTCGGGAGTAGAGAAGTGTGCTCATGAGGTCGCTGACATGCCGAGAGATGGCGACAATGGCAGAGAAGAAACAGGAGGAAAATGTTCTGGGACACAGCAAGTACAGAGGAAGTGAGACAGACATTACTTGAGAGCTGAGAAACTGTCCACCCACAAGGCCGTTGGCATTTTAAAGCTCTGCTCTGCAGGTCTTGTAGATAGACTGCGCCTGAGAACAGCGGCAGCTGCGTTGTTCTGATAAATGAAGCAGTTTATTCAGAAGGAAATGTCCTAGAACGACCGAGTTTTCATAACCCTGTGGAGGGGCAGTGAGGTCAGACAGAGCCTCCTGAAGGAGGCTCCTGGTGACAGCTGTGCAGATGATGAATTGCTGTCCGTGTAGAGAACCTGCCTTTCTGGGAACTGCAGGAAGCCATACCGGCCAGTGGCAGCAAAGCCCTGGGCCGTGACATAAGACGGATTTGCTAATGTCTAGTAAACCTTATGTGAGAAATTCCCAATTTGAAGGTCTCTGCTGTTCAGATGGTAGTAGAATTTTTTGTGTCTTGATAAGTATGTGCTCAGTGAACACTCTGTGAGATAATTTCTGACCAAAACTAAAAATTTCTGTTACAAGCTTGTAGTGGTGGTGCACACCTTTAACCCCAGCACCCAGGAGGCAGAGGCAGGCCAATCTCTGAGTCCGAGGCCAGCCTGGTCTACAGAGTGTTATGATATCAGAATATTAACACACAGTGAGTTCTAAGACAGCCAAGGTTACACAGAGAAACTTTGTCTCAAAAAAAAAAAAGACAAAGAAGGAAAGAAAACACAAAGTTTGAGGCGTGCCGTGTAACTCCGTGGTAAGGCACACAGGCTTTGTGAGCCCAAGGCCCTGGGCTCGATCTCCAGTGCTGTGAAGATGAGGGAAAGGGTAGAGGATCAGTGAATAAGTCTGATCCTGGTCCTTTGAAAGGAAACAAAAAACAAGCAACAGTCTTGAAGTGGCTTATTATTTTCAATTGCATCTGAACCATGTTTCACTCTTTATGAATCAGACTTCGTGCAGGCTGGATGAACCGCTGGTGCATCCTCCTGGCAAAGAGAAGCAGGCTTGCCCCCAAGATGCCTGGCCCAAAGTGCCCAAACACTCTGCTTCCAGAATGGAACTAACTTCTGTCACACATTGGCTGTTAGGCAGAATCTAGTTTTTATTGTGTGCATGAAGATTGTACAAAGGTGTGGTTGGTTGTGTGTAATTGTGCCTTAAAATGTATCAGGGTAGGATTTACACTCTCATCCTACTGAATCCCAAAATACATAGAAGGAAAAAAATGAGTTTGTTCTTATTTTAGGTGTTCAGCCTAGTAGTAAAACTGACCAAAAGCCATGCACAAAACTACCTCCCCAGAGGAAGGCTGGTCCCTTCCCCTCCCCATCGTTTCGTCATGAACATGGTTCAAGACAGTGTCCTGTCCAAGCTGAGGAAGAGTGCCGACACATTTGAGTTGAAGTACGACTTTTCGTGTGAGCTGTACCGCCTGTCCACGTACTCCGCTTTCCCCGCTGGAGTTCCTGTCTCGGAACGGAGTCTGGCTCGTGCTGGCTTTTACTACACGGGTGTCAACGACAAGGTCAAGTGCTTCTGCTGTGGCCTGATGCTGGACAACTGGAAACAAGGGGACAGCCCTGTTGAAAAGCACAGGCAGCTGTACCCCAGCTGCAGCTTCGTCCACACTCTGAATCCCGCCAACCATCTGGAAGCCAGCCCCAAGTCCTCTCTTCCGTCTGCAGCGCCGAGCACCATGCCTTCATTAGGTGCAAGTTTGGAGAACACTGGCTATTTCAGTGGCTCCTACTCCAGCTTTCCCTCAGACCCTGTGAACTTCAGAGCAAATCCAGATTGCCCTAGTTTGAGGACAAGTCCCTACGACTTTGCAATGAATACAGAGAAGGCCAGACTACTCACCTATCAAACGTGGCCATTGTCCTTTCTGTCTCCAGCCGACCTGGCCAGAGCCGGCTTCTACTATGTAGGACCTGGAGACAGGGTGGCCTGCTTTGCCTGTGGCGGGAAACTGAGCAACTGGGAACCGAAGGATGACGCCATGTCAGAGCACCGGAGACATTTCCCCAGCTGCCCATTCTTAAAAGATCGGAGTCGGTCAGCTTCGAGATACACTGTCTCTAACGTGAGCATGCAGACACAGGAAGCCCGTGTTAGAACGTTCTTTAACTGGCCTTCTGGTGCTCTGGTTCCTCCTCAGCAGCTTGCAAGTGCAGGATTTTATTATACAGGTAAGAATCTTAATCTGAGACTCTTACAGATCCATCATGTGTTACGTTATACACATGAGTGTGCAAATTTTATGTATTCATAAGTTTGATTCAAACTTATGCATTTTAGGACACAGCGATGACGTCAAGTGCTTTTGCTGTGATGGTGGGCTGAGGTGTTGGGAGTCTGGAGACGACCCCTGGGTGGAGCACGCCAAGTGGTTTCCCAGGTAACTGCTTTGAAGTTCTCCTTTGCATCTTCTATGGTTTTCATGAGATACATTAGCTGCCTTTATAGCACCTTTGCCTCCTAAGTACTGCGGATTCTGTTTCATTGTTACGTGTGTGAGTGTTTCGCCTGCCTATATTTATTTCTGTGCACCATTGTGTGCAGTGCCTGCAGAGGCCAGAAGAGGGCACTGGATCCTCTGTGATTGGAGTTAAAGATGGTTCTGCGCCAACATGTGGGAGCTGGGAATCAAACCTGCATCCTCTGGAAGAGCAGTCAGTGCTCTTGATTGCTGAGTCATCTCTCCAGCCCTGTTACTTCAGATTTTAAACATTATGAAGATTATAAAGAATAAGGGTGTGCCACCCTTATGCTGGGTGGGTGGCACACACCATTAACCCCAGCACTTGGGAGGCAGAGCCAGGCGGATCTCTGGGAGTTTGAGGCCAGCCTGGTCTACACAGCGAGATCCATGACAGGCACCAAAACTACATAGAGAAACCCTGTCTCGAATAACCAAAACAAAAAGAGAGAGAGAGAGAGAGAGAGAGAGAGAGAGAGAGAGAGAGAGAGAGAAAGAGAGAGAGAGAGAATATTTACCTTGAAAAGCCAAAAAAAGAAAAAATATTCACATAGATTTTTTAAGTGCTTTCTATTACTCTAGTTAATTTTTTATATACTTATTTATTTGTTTTATGTGTGTGTGTGGTGTGGAGGTCAGAGGACAACTTTTAAGGGCTGGTCTCTCCTTCTACCCTGTGGGATTGAACTCATGTCACCAGAGTTGGTGGCAAGCGCCCACTGAGCCATCTTGCCAGCCCCCACTGCAGTAGTTTGTAAAAACACAAGAAGAATCATGAGTCTGCTTCAGTGCCGCAGAGATTCACATTGTACTTACATTTAGTGGTGGATCTCCATTATCTAGGGATTGGCAGACTCACCGTAGCGGGGCTGTGTTGAATGTCCCACCCTCCCCCTGAAGTCTGTTCGCATGTTTTCAGCCCACGGACATGTCACGGCCAGGATCGGATGGCTCACGCAGAGGCCTCTCTGCCTCCACGTTTGCTCAGGGGTGATTTTAGGAATCTTAGAAGAGTGGAGAGCAGGGAGGCGCTCCGAGCAGAGCCTGCTGGGGAGCTTGGCTTGAGGATGGTAACAGGGCTCCTCATGGCCACCACTCAGTGGCTCAGCCTTGACGGCACAGCGGCTGACCCTCCCTTCCAACACCCGCCTTTCACTGCACTCTCTCCCTGTGCCAAGTCCACAGTGCGGCACTCGTGTGTGTGTGTGTGTGTGTGTGTGTGTGTGTGTGTGTGTGTGTGTGTGTTCAAGCTCGTGAGAAACAGTTAACAGCCTCCAGATAGCTAGATTAATAAAACTATAAAATATAAAGTAATAAACTAATTTTGTAAAACAGCTGAAGTATATGAAAAGTACTAGAAGCCAATCAAATACACCCTAACCTCAATAGACAGCACCTTACAACGGCAAATTCAAAAATTCATGCGCAAGGGCTAGGGAGATGGCTCAGTGGTCATCGATTTGGTTCCCAGCACCATATCAGGCAGCTCACAACCACCTGAAATTTCGGTTCTTGGAGGACCAGATGCTTCGGACCACCATGGGCCCTGCATTCACACGTACATACACACACATGAACACACATACACACACATACGCACACAGACACACATAAACACACATACGCACACACACATATACACATACACACACAGACACACACACACACATACGCGAGCGCACACACACACATACACACAGACACACACATACACATACACACACATGCGAGCGAGTGCGCGCACACATACACACACACATACACACAGACACATATACACACACATACGCGAGTGTGCACACATATACACACACATACACACAGACACAGACACACACACACAGACACAGACACACACATACACACACAGACACACAGACACACACACATACACACAGACACAGACACACACAGACACACACATACACACAGACACACACACACACATACACACACATACACACATACACACACAGACACACATACACACACAGACACACACACATATACACACACACATACACACACATACACACAGACACACATACACACACAGACACACACGCACACACACACACACACAGACACACACGCACACACACACAGAGACACACACGCACACACACACATACACAGACACACACGCACACACACGCACACACACAGACATATACACAAACCTAACAAAAAAATGAACCTTTAAGGAACTTCACAAGGCAAACAGGCACAAGTAGAGTTACTCCTCAATAGCCTGGCAGAGTTAGTGACTGTTGCCTAGGTAACCAGAGCTCACACGAGGTGAGCACTTAGACGTGAGTTTGTCACTGCATTCCGAGTCACGTGTTAATCATGAAAATGGGCATACTAAGATGGCTTGTAGTGCACCTGTCCTTCTGAAGCTGGCAGTAACGAAGTGGTCCTGCTAAGGAGCGCTCACAGCGTCAATGTTTACCTTCCAGGTGTGAATTCTTGGTAAGAATCAAAGGACAAGAGTTTGTTGACCACGTTCAAGCCGGGTACCCTCATCTACTTGAACAGGTAGGAAAGGTCTCTGTTCCCCTTTAATTAGTGCCTCCCAACAGAGAAACTGCTTATTTATTTTTAAAATTTTAATTATTTAACAAATTATTTTTAAAAATTTATTTGTAAAATAAATCACAGAGTAATATTTTAGTGAAAAGGCGAAAGTTGTTTTAAAACAACACCCCCTCTCCTCTTTCCTCACAAACCTCAACATCATCATGCCAGGAGCCTCCCTGGTGAGAAAAATAGATCTGCAATTATTAGCCACATGGAAGACAGTGTTGGTTGTATTTCTCTTTGAGCATTTGTCTAACCAACCAGCAATGAATTAAACTCTGAAGCAATTAATAAATTACATTTGAGGGGAAAAGTTTACTCTGTAAATTTTTCTTAAATGATTTGAGAAAGCTTTTGTTATCACTCTTTGGAAGAACCAAATAAGAGCTTATTTCATAGTCTGAGGCTCAAAAGCTTGTCAGCTGTGGCCAGAGGAAGCGACTCAAAAGTAACCTACCCCAGCAGATGACTAGGGTAATGGCAGCTGCAGATGCGAGGCCAACCCGCTGCCTCTCCTGAATCCAGAATCCAGCCTATCCTACGAGAGGAGGCTTTGCTCACTGCAGCCCCCTGGGGAAGCTGTTAGCTTAGAGCCCCATTGTTCAAATTCCTGGTGAATGTCATGAAATACTGCTTCTGACCGGGCAAAGTGAGTTTGTAGTAGGTTAAATAGCAGGTCTGTTGGTCATTTTCAGCACAGTGGTGGGAGGCAGTTTACATTTTAACATGTATATTTTTTTCCTGTAGCTATTATCTACGTCAGACACCCCAGAAGATGAGAACGAAGACTCACCAAGTATGTATAATGATCATAGTGCATTAAAGTGAGCCATTTGGTACTAAGATTGAAGGTGAAGATGGGTGTGGTTGTAACCCAGCATTTGGGAGTCTAAGGCACCAGGGTCCTACAGGGGGTGAGTTCAGGGCCAGCCTGGTAACCTAGTGAGATCTTGTCTTAAAAGAGCAAAACAGGCCGGGCGGTGGTGATGCACACCTGCAATCCCAGCACTCCGGAGGTAGAGCCAGGTGGATCTCTGTGAGTTCGAGGCCAGCATGGTCTACAGAGCGAGATCCAGGACAGGCTCCAAAGTTACACAGAGAAACCCTGTCTCGAAAAACAAAGTAAAAAAATAAAACACCAACACCAACACCAAATGAAGTTAGCCACCTGCATACAGTGTAGTGCCTATGTATTGTTCAGATTTCATGGTTTTGATATTGCAATGACTTGGCTATTTAAAGTCTATGAAGCCAGGCGTGTTGGCTTGTGCCTGTAATCCTCGCACTTGGGAGGCTGCAGTAGGAGGATTGCTATGGATTTGAGATCAGCCTGGGCTACATAATAAGCTCGAGGCTGGACTGGGCTAGAAGGAGTCTCAAAACAGCAGGCACAACAAAAGGTATATGGCACTGCTGATGTCTGTTAAATCTCCCTTTTCATACAGTTGTGCATTTCGGACCTGGCGAAAGTTCAGAAGATGCGGTCATGATGAGCACGCCTGTGGTTAAAGCGGCTTTGGAAATGGGCTTCAGTAGGAGCCTGGTGAGACAGACGGTTCAGCGTCAGATCCTGGCCACCGGGGACAATTACAGGACCGTCAGTGACCTCGTGATAGGCTTACTTGATGCAGAAGATGAGATACGGGAGGAACAGAAGGAGCAGGCAGCTGAGGAAACAGAGTCAGGTACAAGTTCCCAAGGCCCTTTTCCAGAGAGATCGAATGTTACCCTCTGCCAGTTCTAAAAAGATGCTCATCCAGCCAGCCTGGTCTGTCTTATGCTTTATATTCTGAATTCAAATTCTGAAAAAAATAAATAAATAACGTGCATTGTGCAGGGCCAAGGAGATGGCTGGGTGGGGAGGGCGCTTCCTGCTGAATACTGAGTACTGGAGCCTGACCCCCGGAACCTGTCTGGTGGACGGGGAAACTAATTTGACTCACACAGGTTTCCTCAGACCTCTGTATGCATGCTGCAGCACATGTACACACAGACACAGACACACACAGACACACAGACACAGACACACACAGACACACAGATACAGACACACACAGACACACAGACACAGACACACACACACTATTAAAAATAGCCGAATTCTCATTATCTAAAAAAATGTGTATGTTGAGCAAACGTTAACACTTTTCTTTCAGATTTCAAGGTCACAAGAACCAGGTTTTTTTTTTTTTTAAGTGCCAAGTAACCTTTAAAAGCCCCAAAGAATCACACACTATGTGTGATTTTTGTTTTCTGTATGTGCACACAGATCTTTTCAATTAACAAGCCTTCATATTTTCCTCTAAAAGTGAAATTTGCACTAAGGAGCTCGATTTCAACATAATGTCAAATCAGTTCTCGATTTTGAAGGTGTGGTGTGTGTGTATGTGTGTGTGTATGTGCACACACGCATGTCATGGCACATAGATAGAGACCAGAGGACATCTTAGTGGAGTCAGAACTCTCTTTCCACCCTCTTTGTGTTCTAAGTATCAAAGACATGCATTAGGTTTTTGCATTGAGCATTTTCTGCACTGAGCCGTCTTATTGACCCACAGCACATTCTTGATCCCAAGACGGATCATTCCCCTTTGTCATAAATTGAGATGGGATCCAGGAGAATTATTAATTTGAATATTAGGATAATAGTATGGCTTAGACTACAATGTTTACATTTTTATTTTTATTTATTTTATTATTATTATTATTATTATTATTATTATTATTATTATTATTTGGTTTTTTCGAGACAGGGTTTCTCTGTGTAGCTTTGCGCCTTTCCTGGGACTCACTTGGTAGTCCAGGCTGGCCTCGAACTCACAGAGATCCACCTGGCTCTGCCTCCCGAGTGCTGGGATTAAAGGCGTGCGCCACCACCGCCCGGCTTCAATGTTTACATTTTAAATTAATTTTTAAATTTATGTGTATTTGTGTGAGTTTTATGTGTACCTTGTGTGTGCAGGAGCCCTTGGAGGCTAGAAGAGAGTGTTGGATCTCCTAGAACTGCAGTTATGGAGATTGTTAGTCAACATGTGTGTGTCAGGTCCACTGCCAGAACAGCCAGTGCTCTTAACCATTGAGCCATCCCTCCAGCCTCCCCCCACTCCAACCCCTTTTTTGAGACAGGGTCTCAGGTAGCTCAGATTGGCCTTGAACTTGCTGTGTAGTTGAATCTTGATTTTCCTTCCTCCACCTCCCAAGAGCTGTGATGACAGGCATGGACCACTGTGCCTGGCTTAATGCACAGATTCCTATTTAAGTCCCCTCCCTGCCCACACAAGAGCTGGCTTCCTTCCCTACAATGTCTTAGTTTACAATGTCTGTTTCTTGTCCCCCCAGGGCAAGTTATCCATCACGTGAGCTGTTTGTGACCCTGTTCTCTGTTCTGTGCTCAGAACCACCTTCCCCTGGGCATGTGCAGATCTCTTCTGGTTCTGATTGATCTCCTCACTCTGGTGCAGACCAAAGCCACGCTGATCTGCTTTCGAGCACGAGCCTTTTAACTTTTGAGACAGGGTCTTGCTATGTAGCCCAGGCTGGCCTTGAGTTCATGACCTTCTGCCTTAGCCTCCCAAGTGCTGGGCTGCAAAGTGAGTTCCAGACTAGCCTAGGTTAGAGCAGCCTAGGACCTTGTCTCAAAACAAGCCGGGCTTGTGGTGTAGCTGATTGGTGGAGAACTTGCCAGGCACTTGTGGACACCTGTGTTTAGCCCTAGGCGTGGTACACATGCTTTAACTGCAGCACCTTCGGGTGGAGAGGCAGATAGAAGGTGATGAGGTGAGTTTGAGCTGGCCTGGGCTACATGAAAAGACAGAACCTGTGACACAGGGAACAAAAGCACATGTAGGACGGAGTTTTTAACTAAGTGCCATTTCTTTTGTTCTTCTTAACACGGGTCCATGCCTGTCCTGGCGACAAACTCACGGCATCTAACTGCCTCTCCTACACCTAACTGCCTCTCCTACAATAATTTTTCAGACCCCTCGTATTAGTATCCATCATTTTATGGATATCGCTTTACAGTAAAAAATAGAACATTAGAAACGATGAGGAAGTAAACATCAGGCTACAGACATGGCTTGATTGGCAGAGTGCCTGCCTAGCATGCACAAAGCCCTGGGTTTGATTCCTAGCACCGCATAAACTGGGTTTGGTGTCATACGTCTGGAAAGCTGGCACTCAGGAGGTAGTGGCAGAAAAATCACAAGTTTAATGCCATGGTGAAACTGGAGGCCAACCTGAGGTACAGGAGGCCTTTAAATAAATAAATACATACATGTATGATTTCATTCACGTGTTATGTAGGTACAGAAAGAAGTTTGTGACCACGTTTGAACCTGCCTCCCTCCCTCTCTCCCTCTACCCCCCACCCTCTCTCTCTCCATAAAGATGATCTAACATTAATCCGGAGGAACAAGATGGTGCTTTTTCAACATTTGACGAGTGTGACACCAATCCTGGACTGTCTCCTACGTGCCAGGGCGATCACTGAACAGGAGTCTGATGCTGTCAAGCAGAAGCCGCAGACCTTGCAAGCAAGAACACTGATTGAGACTGTGTTAGCCAAAGGAAACGCTGCAGCAGCCTCATTCAGAAACTCCCTTCAGGAGAGTGACCCTGAGCTATACCAAGACTTATTTGGTGAGTGCTAGAAAATTATTTGGGGGAATTTTCTAGGAGGGACTGTTGAAAGTAACTCAGCCCAACTTATAAATTCTAATTGCACAAAAATTAAGGGTTTTTTGTTGTTAATATTATGAGCTTTTGTTCAAAGTGTAAAATGTTTAAAATCTGCTGGGGGAGCTGGTGAGATGGCTCAGCAGGTAAGTGCTTGTCCTTGTCTTAATTAGGGTTTCTATTGCTGTGACCAAGGCAACTCTAACAAAGGGAAACATTTAATGGGGTGGCTTACCCTTCAGAGGCTCATCCTGGTGGGACATGGCAGGGTGCAGTGGACTTGGTGCTAGAGCTGAGAGTCCTACATCTTGCACAGGCAACAGGAAGTGGTCTGTCTCACTGGGAGTGGCTTGAGCACATATGAGACCTCAAAGCCTGCCTCCTTGATGACACCGTTTCTCCAACAAGACCACACCTACTCTAACAAGACCACACCTACTCTAACAAGGCCACACCTACTCTAACAAGGCCACACCTACTCTAACAAGGCCACACCTACTCTAACAAGGCCACACCTCTTAATAATGCCATACCCTTTGGCAGCCATTTTCTTTCAACCACCACACCCATAAGCCTTTCACAAATCCAATGACCTGACTTTGATCCCCAGAATCTACTGTGGAAAGAGAATATTCCTGAAAGTCATTGATCTCATTATCACTGTGGTATCCTTAGGGCACGCACGCACGCACGCACGCACGCACGCACACTCAGAAGTAAATAAATAAATTTGCTGCTGGACATAGTAATACACACCTGTAATTCATGAGGCTGAAGCAGGAAGATTGTGAGTTCAGTCCCAGCTTGGATTACAGAATAAGTCTATGTCTCAAATAAATATTAATAGTAGATAAATAAAATTTTGTACAGTGTATTCTGGGCTGTGGAATTGGCTCAGTGAGAGCCTGGCCTAGCATGAATGCATCAGGCCCTGGGTTTGAACACCTGCATTACAAAAATGAATAAACAAAAACAAATAGCTAAAACCAGCCTTGGTTGCCATAGTAATGCTTTCCCTTTTCCTTCCCCAGTGCGACAGGACATTAGGCGTCTTCCCACAGATGACATTGCAGGTAAGGGTACTACTAACACTTTAAACCTGCAAAAAAAATCAGTTTTATTTTATTGATAGTTCACTAGAGGAAAAGCAAATTGCTTTCCATTAAAAATTTTTTCTTGCCTCACATGGCATGCGATGCCATGTGACCAGCACTTGGAAATTGGATGTGGGAGTACCAAAGTCTGAGGTCACCTGGGCTCCACAGAGAGACCCAGTGTTTAAAATAAAAAATCTCCCCCTCTTCATAGCTCTACCCATGGAAGAACAATTGCGGAAGCTACAGGAAGAAAGAACATGTAAAGTGTGTATGGACAGAGAGGTATCCATCGTGTTCATTCCCTGTGGCCATCTGGTGGTTTGCAAAGACTGTGCTCCCTCCCTGAGGAAGTGCCCCATCTGCAGAGGGGCCATCAAGGGCACAGTGCGAACATTTCTCTCCTGACCCGGACTGATGCTCCGACCCCAGCGTGTGGGAGGTGGAGGCAGGAGGACACAAGTTCAGTGTCACCCCCAGCCACATAGGAACCTTGAGCTAGCCTGGACTGCATGAGACACCACCTCAAAATAAATCAGTAAACACCCGTGAAAATGAGAACAAGGGTAAAAAAAAATGTCTGAACTCCAGAGTGAATGGTCAACTATATAATAATTTAACTCTTAAACTGAGTGGGTTTCCGTAAAAGTGCTATTTATTTCCAACTCACAAGGCTCTTTCCTGTAAACATCTGAAGCATATGTATGTGCATGTTCAGATGCCGAGAGAAAAGTGGGGGTTGCCTGCATTCCTGAAATTCTCAGAGATTTACGATGTCGGCATTTATGGTTTAGAATTTGAAAGCTTTTCCAGTTGCTTTAAGAACTGGGAACACAGATTTTCCATTTCTTTTCTAAATGTCTTATGCATGGAAAAACCTGTTATTTATTGAATGACATCTTAGAGATATAGAGTTTTTATAAAGAAGTTGTAAGGAAAAATAAAGCAACAAAATTACTCGTTATTTATGTTTGTTTGTTTTATGATCCCTGGCAGTTTAGTTGCACCCAGATTCTTGCCATACCATTTAAAGAATTCTTATTTGATGGGGATGAGGAGACTGTGCAGTCAGTGAGGTACCCAGCACAAAAGCATGAGAACCGTGTTCAGATCCCCAGAGCCCCATAAAGTCAGGTGTGGCAGCATGACATGCCGTCTCTGGGAACTAGCTCAATGCTTCGGTGACTGGAAATGTGTACAGAATGAGAAGGTGTTTGGTTTTGTGTTTGCCACTGATATTTCTTGCAATGATGTTTCCCCAGTCATACATGAGTTTGCCGTGGATGGGGGAAGGGACCCAGAGTCCCTTTCACAGTTTTCAGGTTGTTGCCATCCATAGAGAAATCTTGAAATAGATGTAAAAGGGAACCTGGTGACAGTTTACTCAAGAGAGAAATGACAGAGTAGGCAAGCTCTTACCTGAAGGCCACCCTTGAGTTCAAAGATTTGGGAGCTAATCAAAGTAAGTATGTGCTCACAAGCTAGCGTTATAGCTTCAGCTGTCGAGTTGACACACCTGGGAACATGGAGTCTCAGTGGAAGAGTGGCCTCCATCAGATTTGCCTGAGGGAATATCTGGAGCATTTTCTTAGTTGCTCATTCCTGTGGTACTGGCCCAGCCCACAGTGGTGGTGCTATCCTTAGGCACGAGGTCCTGGATGGTATATGAAAGCTCGCGGAGCAAATCTGGGAAGCAAGTCAGTAGGCAGCGTTCCTCCGCGGCCTCTGCTTCAGTTCCTGTCTCCAGGTTCCTGTGTGGGCTTCCCTCAGTAAGGGTCGGTAACCTATGAACAAAATAAGCCTTTTCCTGCCCAGGTTAGTCTCAGTCACTTTTGTCCCAGTGGCAGAGTTTGCAAGGAGCCTTATTTGGACCCGGGGGTAGACAGCGTGGCAAACAGGAAGTCCTCACAGGGGAAGCCTTTGAGAAGCAGCATGGAGCCACAGCTCAGACAGAAAGCTGGTGGGAGAAGTTTCAGAAGGAAGCCAGAGCAGGGTCTTTCTTGTCTAAGAGCACTGCACAACAGCAAGATGGAGAGTCTGGACCGAAGAGCTTGAAAGGGTGTCTCACAGTGATCTGGGTCCGGGTTGGGAATTTGCAGCCTTTGGTATCTTATTGAGCATGAAATAAATGGCACACCGATTACAAAGTAGCACGAATATTTTTTTCAAAGTAGAGCAAGACAGCAGGTCAGAAAGAAACAGTGTCACAGTGACAGTGGTGACCTGAGTAAGCAAGGCTCGTCTAGGGCGCTGTGGGGTTCAAGGGAAGAGCTCGATTGCAAAGGGACATGGTGAGGGCTCCCTCTTAGGACTGATAGGACTGGACTATGGGAGCCTTTGCTCACTGCACAGGTTCCTTCCTGTGATGCATCTGATTTTAATCAAATGAACACCCAACATAAGATAATAAATAGGGGATTTTCCCTAAAAGTTCACTCAAAGGATACAGTGTGTCTTACTGGGCACGGACCCAAATCCCCTCTAGGCCGAGTGGCTCATCTCTTTTGTTTTCATGATGTGTCTTGGACATATCTGAATAGAAATGGAGCATTATCAGGAGGTTGCTAAGGGAAGTAACTCATTTCAGTTGTTTTAAGCAGGTACACGTGCAGGCTGATTTGAGAGAGGGTACCTAGGTTGCCCACAGGTTGCGAGGTACATTGTTCACGTAGCAGCAGTGCATGCATGGCTCAAGCCAAGTGGAGTCCCAGGGTGCTAACGTACTCCTTGGAATGTCCGTCTACACAAACAGCCACGCCTGCTTGGCTTTGAAGATTCACCATCACAACAGGGTTCACAACCTTGCCATGAATATCTTGGAAAAGATGTTCTAGTCTATTTGCAGGCAGTTTGGAAATTTTTGACAAGAGACATAACCCCACATATGGTGGAGGAATACTTCTTTTCCATCCATGTGTGTCATTACACTTTGTTCTGAATCATTGCCCTCCCATCATCCCTGCCCTCTCTTACAGTCTCTACCCTCTCTGAAGAAGCCACATTCAGGATGGAGAAATGGCTCAGCGCCTAAGAGGGCTTGCTGCACAAGCTTGAGGACCTGAGTTCAAATCCCTAGCACCTTAGCAAACAGCTGGGCATGGCTGCCCAGTGCCTGTGACGCGTTGCTCCAGTGACGTGGAGCAGAAGACAGGATCGCTGATGCTCTCGGGCTCAGAGATCCACCCTGTCTCATTTCTTGGGTTACAATTGCCAACATTCCCTCATATGGATGTGTCCAGCAAAATTACATGATTTACACGGGAAGCTAACAACCCATTCCTAGCAAAGTATTATAAAATCAGACATTTATCCAAAACTGCTAATTACAATAGTGTTTGTGGAAGGTTGGGGCCCACCCAAATGCCTGTCAGTGGGGAAGTAGCTGAATTTACAATATTTTTTTTCTTTAGAGAACTCATTCTAGTATTTTCCTTGTAGTGCTGGGCTTTCAACTTACTGTCTCAAATGCTATATATACCACACACACTCGGCCTAGAAATAACCCAATTTTTAACATGGGCAATCTTTTCAATTTTTAATATCCTTGAGCCAGATCAGTGGTAATACTTTTTCTCTTTGGCTAGAGGAAACTTTGACTTTTCTTTTGGTAAAGAAAAGGTCACAGGATGTGGTGTCAAACACCTAGAATCTCAGCACTCAGGAGGCATAGGTAAGCAGATCTCTGTGAGTTCAAGGCCAGCCTGGTCTACAAAGTGAGTTCCAGGACAGCCAGGGCTGTTACACAGAGAAACCCCGTCTCGAAAATAAAGAAAAAGAGGGGCTGGAGAGATGGCTCAGTGGTTAAGAGCACCGACTACTCTTCCAGGGGTCCTGAGTTCAATTCCCAGCACCCACATGGTGGCTCACAACCATCTGTAATGAGATCTGGTGCCCTATTCTGTGTACATAATAAATAAATAAATCTTAAAAAAAAAAAAAAAGAACAGGTCTTGGCTCTACTTCTTTTGGCAGGCAGGAAAGAGGTGGAGGGCTCAAGTTCTCCTGGCCGTCCCCACTCACCTCCTCTTCAGTAACAGGCCTGTCTTGCCTGGATGGCTCTGATATCTGCAGTTGCATGGTTATCTGATGGTGGGCAGAGTGGACCATGGTGGTCATGAAGGTTGGCAGCTGGCTGTGTCTTCCTTATATCATCACTGTAACACCATTGTGGCCCACTGGCGGGGATGCTATTTCGTGGTTCAGGGACCTACTATTTCTCTGGATCTTGCGCACACGCCCCCTGGCGGTACCTAATCTTACTACCGTAGCTGCAGAGACAAAAGGAACCAAGCTAGTTTGGAACTCACTGTGTAGTCCAGGCTGGCCTTAATCTCGCAGCAATCCTCGGCCTGAGCCACTATTCCTGGCTCTTAATTGCTTTTGAATCAAATCGTTAAAGTTGAATATATTATGGTGTACTTCTGCCGTGTATCACCAGCACCTATAACGTTCGTCACTATGTGCTAATACTGAGTGGTGTGCAGTTACTAAGTGGAGAAAGGCATGCTACTAATAACTTGAAATTTTACTTTTTTCTTTATTTATATGTTTTATTTTATGCGTAATTTGCCTGTATGTTTGGGCACTGCATCACTTGTATGCAATGCCCACGGAGGCCAGAAGAGGGCGTCCAATTCTTTGGAACTCCACGATGTGGATTTTAGGAAACGAACCAGGGTCCTCGGCAGCAGCAGTCAGTGTTCTTAACTACTATCTCTCCAGTCCCTGGTTTTATTATACAACTTACATGGCAGAAATCTTTTCAATCTTATTTTTTCTTCAAAAAATATCTTGAATCGTATATTTTTTGTATATAAAGATGAAATGTCATAACTACCTCAACATTGAAAGTTCTAGTTGAATCAATGGTCAACAAAATAAATGAGTGGGCTCCAAGATTATACAATATTAAAAAAAAAAGTAGTAAGTTCTGAAGCTTCTGAATTGCCTATGTACTGAAGTAGACTCACTATCTCATGTTTTGGTCACGACAAGAACTGAAAAGTAGACACTCTTGAATTCAATGTGCACAAATCTTGCTAGAGTCCCACAAATATTAGGAATGTTTTTGGTTTTTCGAGACGGGTTTTCTCTGTGTAGCTTTGCGCCTTTCCTGGATCTCGTTCTGTTGACGAGGCTGGCCTCGAACTCACAAAGATCCGCCTGGAATTAAAGGCGTGCGCCACGTCCGCACGACCTTCCCCGAATAGAGGAGGGCCGGTCTTCAGTCAAGGGTATACCAGTAGCTGCGCTCCCCTGCTAGAACCTCCAAACAAAAGTTTTGTAACTTTCCGAGAAGTAGTGACTGGCATCCGTGTGTGCTTGGAAGTTAGTCATTGGTAACCACGACACGTCTTTTCTCTGTATCACAAACTGTGACAAATACTTTCTTTTTACTATCAACATTGGGACAGAAGACTGCCTTGTTCTGTGACTGACTGGCAGGCAGAAATGACGGGGAAAGGAAATGGGAAATGGTTCAGGGTCCCGGAATTCCCCTGGCTGCCTAACCTAGTGGCCTGTTATTTCTAAATTTTTGAACTGTTTGCCCCCTGGAGTTCCCCGGAGAGATTTGATTTCATTGGTTATGACCGTCTAACCCAACGTAAATTAAACTCTAGGATCCCCCCCCCCCCTTAGTGGCGCGCTTCTAATCCCAGCATGCAGGAGGCTGAAGTAGGATTCTAGATCCTGGGCCAGCCTGAGCCCTGCAGTAAAATCTTTTCTCAATAAAACAACAACAACAACAACAACAACAAAAAAAAAAACCCCGCAAAAGCAAACCCCAAACAACCAAATAACAAAACCAAAACATGCAAACAGAGGAGTGCAGAGAAAAACACTGGAAGTCCTGGGCAGTGTGCTAGCGCTTTGTGTGGGAGCGGCAGCGGAGGGTGGGGTGGGGAGACACATGCCCGTGCGCAAAGAACCCAGGTTTCAGCTTTCCCTTTTTACATGTCTTCTTCCACCATCTCATCACAGATAGGTAACGCGCGTCGACCATGCGCTCCCCCTTTAGACCACTAGCCCTCCTCCAGAGCAGTCCCCTGCTCCTTCTCCTTATCTTTTGTTTGGGGCCTGCTGCGTTTATGAAAAAGAAAAATGCGTAACTGCCTCCGCGCCCAAGGGGTCTCGGTGGCCTGGGCGTGCTGGCCACGGCGGGTTTGAGCTCCCGGACTCGGTGCGCGCCACCGTGCGCCTGCCAGAGAAAACACCGTCCTTCCCACGCTCGTGCGCCCGAGTGCGGTCCGCGGCACCCGCGTCAGCCGCCTTCGCCGCGGCGCCTGTCTCTTCCCGGGCTTTCCCCAGGGTTTCCCGAGCCACGAGCACGGCTCACGGTTGCCGCCCTTACGGAGCCGCGGCACGGTAAACCACACCAAAGCCAAGCCCGAGGCACGCCGCGGAGGCAGCGCGCCAGCTCGCCCGGAACGGCGTTCCTGAAGGCCCAGCCTTCTTCCGGTCCCGGGCAGCGAGGCCCGGATGTTCGGCTTCCAAAACCCGAACACGCAGGCGCAGTCGCGCGCATCAATTTAGCCCCTCCTTCCATCGCGGTGGAGGCACGCCGTGCTGACGTCACTGCGCGTCCTCAACGTCCCGCTGGCTCCGGGGGCTTTCGGGAAGGCGGCGGCTGAACGGTCCGGTGCTGCGGCTTCCCGGGCGCGGAGGCCCCAGTGCCCCGGCTCCGCGGTGAGTGCGGCTCCCTCCGGCCCGGCGGGGCGAGCGGCCGCCTTCGGCTCCCCGAAGCCAGTCCAGCTGGTGCCGTAAGAACCCCTCTGTTCTCAAGGCCGCCCGACCGCCGCTCGCTCCCCCAGTCCTTGGAGTTGCTTTCCAGTTTTGCTTTCTTTTCCCTTCGGTTTATTTATTTTTTTGAGCCAGTCCAGGCTGGCCTTCAACTTGCGGCATCCTCCTGCCTCAGTCTCCCAGGTGCTAGGATTACTAGCATGCACCACCACGCCCATCTCGCAGGGTTTTAAGCTTACCCGAGGCATTTTTTTTTTTTTTTTTTAACTGCCTTTAAACGGAGACAGTTGTGCGGCTGGGACATCTCGGTTCTCATGTAGTTTTACTGCTTGTGCTCTGCAGTGATGTGAGGAGTAACTCCGTGGTTTAGTGGGGTAACATGCATCTTGTCTTGCTGACCTAGGTGTCTCTCCCCTTCAGTGTGCAGAGAGCTTGCTGGAGATTTAACACCTGGTGTGGTTAAGCCACGCGTGCAGTGGAAGCCTCATACCGGCCAGTGCTTTACAAGCTATTGTACCTTTTGCTTTGAGATGCTTTCTGAGGTGGTTGCTTCGGAATTGTTAGGGAATGGTTGTCCTTAACGGAGTGCGTTGATGACAACTCAGCCTTGACTAAATAAGTGCTCTAACTGGTGGAGCATCTCATCCTGGTTTTTCTTCCAAGTGTTGAGATTGACATTGCAAGCAGGCCTCAGAAATTTTCTGTTCAGCAGCTTTCCTCCTCGTCCTTTTTTTTTTTTTTTTTTTTGTAATTGCTGATGACTAAACCCAGGTCCTTTACCTGCAAGGCAAAAGCTCTAACACGGAGCCACACCAGCAGCCCTGCAGACTGTCTTTCCACTACCCACGGGTGCCTTTTGTCTCCAGTGAAGTGCCGTATCAAAATACCTAAATCAGGAAATGAAAGGAGCCAGATAGTAGTGTGGTCCTAGCACTTGGGATGCTAAGACAAGAGATTTCTAACAAGATTTAAAACTAGCTTGTTTTACATTGACTTCTAGCCAGCCTAGGCTGCAGATTGAGACCATGTCCTTGCAAAAAATAAAATGATGCCCATGAAATATGGTACATTTTGTCTAACAGTAAATAAACAATAAATAAAACCAACAACTGTGAAATCGGGGACCAGTTTTTCTTCCTGGGTGGAAATGTCCATCTGTCTTCAAAGTTTTGCTTTATAAAATATATAAAGCTGTGCATTTTAAAGACAAGCATAATTAGTGCTTTAGGAAGTCTTTTTGCAAGCATATATTTTGATTTCAACCTTTTCTAAGTAGACTGGTTGGGTGGGAAACCGCTGTAGTTAGGATGCATTATCTAGAAAGACATTTTTAGATACTACTGAATAAATTGAAGAGGCTATAATTGCTATGCAATTAGTTTTCTAAAATATCTTTTTTTTTTCCTTTCAGACTTAGATCACTGAGAGTCTTCATTTCCTCCCATGTTTCCCTAGAAATAAACCCAATCATAGAAATCTGAAAAGTGTTATAAAAAATCCAGTTTGAATTCTGTGGAGTGTCCTTTTGTGTATGAATAGTTATATAAAATACTGAGTTCTCACAGAGTGCTAGTAAGTATGGTACATTGTGCAACAGGAATGCTGTGGTAAAGCAGGGTTATTAGATACTTGTGATAACAGAAGAAGGCTATGTCTTAATAAATTGATTCATCCTTAATTCTAGCAGACTTAAAAGAAGTGCAGGTGGACTTTTTAAAATGCAGTCTAGTTAGGTTTGCTGTCTGTTGACCAGATGTCTTAAAATGATCGACACAGGAAGGCTTAAGCTAGTGACATAGAAGATTTAGCAGGTAAGAAGAAGAACAGTCTAAGCTTTAAGCAAAGGTCATTCACCGCACATACTGTCTATAGTCTTAATAGGGCTGTGTGTTAACTTCAGAAGGTAACTGACATCATTCTGACCCACTTTAGAAAATGCTGTCATGATGAGCTGTACGAAATTAGCTTTTAGGAAATGTGGCCATGTGGAGAGTTTAGTTACTTGTATTTGGTAGATGAATAGAGTAGTTTGAATGTTGTATTAAAGTCTTTATAAGGGAAAAAAAAAGCCTGCATATAATTTTTCCAATATAGTCAGCAATTGACTTAGTATCTAGACTTCATAACTTTTCATGAAAGTAAATTATGGGTAAATAGCTCTTGGGTTACCCACAAGAGTTAATACTGTCCCAGAGTCCTGAGTAGTGTAGTATCTTGGAAAAGGAGACAGATTTGTCCTATGTGACAGTGAACTTATATAAATCCAATCAGAGTGAGTTCTACCTAGTTAGCCCGCCATTCCATTTCTGTCTGTGGTGGAGATCTTAGTGTGAAGTGGTGAGACACCTCACAGGGCAGTTTAAGCTGTCAGAAATACCGTCACTACTCATGCACAAAACTATCTCCCAGACAGTTGTCCAAGGTACCTTACACCAAAAAACCAAAAGTATAATGGAAAATAGCACAACCTTGCCAAATTGGACAAGAGAGAGCAAAGAAAAAATGAAGTACGACTTTTCGTGTGAGCTGTACAGAATGTCCACGTACTCGGCTTTCCCCGCTGGAGTTCCTGTCTCGGAACGGAGTCTGGCTCGTGCTGGCTTTTACTACACGGGTGTCAACGACAAGGTCAAGTGCTTCTGCTGTGGCCTGATGCTGGACAACTGGAAGCAAGGGGACAGCCCTGTTGAAAAGCACAGGCAGCTGTACCCCAGCTGCAGCTTCGTCCACACTCTGAATCCCGCCAGTCTGCCGTCCCCGACCAAGAGCACAGCTCCTGTGAGGAGTGGGTTTGCACAGTCGTTACCTCCTCCGGAACGCGGTGGTACTTACTCCAGCTTGTCCTCAAACGCTCTCCGTTCTAGAGCAGTGGAAGACTCCCCATCGAGGGTGAGTCCCTGCAGCCATACCATGACTACTGAAGAGGCCAGACTTCTTACTTACAACACGTGGCCATTGTCCTTTCTGTCTCCGGCCGACCTGGCCAGAGCCGGCTTCTACTATGTAGGACCTGGAGACAGGGTGGCCTGCTTTGCCTGTGGTGGGAAACTGAGCAACTGGGAACCGAAGGATGACGCCATGTCAGAGCACCGGAGACATTTCCCCAGCTGCCCATTTCTGGAAAATTCTTCAGAAACACAGAGATTTAGTATATCAAATCTGAGTATGCAGACACACTCTGCTCGAATGAGGACGTTTTTGTACTGGCCGTCTAGTGTTCCTGTTCAGCCTGAGCAGCTTGCAAGTGCTGGATTTTACTACATGGGTAAGATGCAGCAGAACTAGAGTTTTATCTAATTTGCTTATGGGAATATGCATGACCAGTTTCTGGTCTTTTTCTCTTGTTTAGATCGCAATGATGACGTCAAGTGCTTTTGCTGTGATGGTGGCTTGAGATGTTGGGAGTCTGGAGACGACCCCTGGGTGGAGCACGCCAAATGGTTTCCAAGGTAACTGCTTCTTTGTTTCCTTGTTTGTTTACTGGTTTTTGTTTTTCTGTGTAGCCCTGGCTGTCCTGAAACTAGCTCTGTATACCAGGCTGGCCTTGAATTCAACAGTCATCTGCCTGCCTTTGCCCAGTGCTGGGATTAAAGGTGTGTGCCACCTCCACCCAGCTTGGTAATTGGTTCTTTTTTTTTTTTTTTTTTTTTTTTTTAAGATTTATTTATTTATCATGTATACAGAAGAGGGCGCCAGATCTGATTACAGGTGGTTGTGAGCCACCATGTGGTTGCTGGGAATTGAACTCGGGACCTCTGGAAGCGCAGTCGGTGCTCTTAACCTCTGAGCCATGTCTCCAGCCCCGGTAATTGGTTCTTAAAAACTGATAATTTATTGTGGTATGGAGGATTGAACCCAGGGCCTCACATCTGGTAGGCAAGTACTATACCCCTAAAGTATATCCTTAACCTCTTAATTTTTATTATTGTGTAAAATAATTTAGGGGCCAGATGGCGGTGGCGCATGCCTTTAATCCCAACACTCGGGAGGCAGAGCCAGGTGGATTTCTGTGAGTTTGAGGCCAGCCTGGTCTACAGAGTGAGATCCAGGACAGACACCAAAACTACACAGAGAAAAACTCTGTCTCAAAAAAACAAACAAAATAAAACAAGATTTTAGGGGCACAGTTGTCAGTGAAATGGAATTGGAAATTGTGTGTTTGTAACCAATTAGCTCTGTGAACTTGGACTTCATTTCTAAAATGAATGGGTAATGTTAGGTATTTTTAATTATTATGATATAAAATATACCAATTTAGCCATGTAAAATGTATTGTGTAGCATAAAGTACATGTGTACTGTTTTATAGTCATGTCCAGAGCCTTTTCATCCTCTCAAACTGAAACTCTGTATCCCACACACTTGTTATCCCTGGCAACCACCCTTCTACTTGCTGTATCTGAGGTTTTCACTTTAGGTACCACATATAAGTGAAATCATACAATAAAGGGAGTTTGGACCTGTGCATGCCTTCCATAATAATGAGGAATCTGTTGGCTTCCTTCAGGGAATTAGAAGGACCTTTGGTCATTTTTGAACAGGAATTTTGAAGTAGCAGTATTTATAGTGGATCAATAAATTGTTAAAAATTGTTAGTAGTTTAAAAGTATATGATGGGGTGATTTTGTATTTGTCTTCACCTGTAAATTTTGTACTTTGCTATGCTCTCGAGAATTGTTCATTGTGTTCTTTCACTTTAGCCTGCATTATCTGTCTTGTTCTCTTGAGACTCACCAAGCTCCCTGGAGATGAATATTAATTGCTTATCTGGCAGTATGCGCCTCTCTCTTCCTTTTTTTGAATTGGTTCTTGGAAAATTATTGCATTCCTTTGTTATGGTTTTTGTTTGTGTTTTAAATGTCTTGCATCTTAGATTTTGTGACTGTGTTGAGCAAAGACCTTTAACTGCAGGTGGGTGAGGGCTTGGGCTTGTTAGGGGTATGGTATGCTCTGACTCCTTGTGAAGTCCAGTGTCATAATCTCCATTCAGCTCTGTTAGCTGAAGTCTTTGTCAGTGAAGGTTTTAGAGATACTCAGTGTCCAGGGCAGCATTAAAGGTTTTGGTGGCAAGGCTGAAGACTTGCTCTCTACTGTCATGAGAAACATCCTGACCAATGGGACCCCCGTTGATACCTGTTGTGGCTTGGGAGTGTTCTGTCAATGGTGGGGGCAGTGGCACTGGTGTCTGTCTTGATGTTAGAGAGCCTGAAGAGCAGCCACGGAGCGATCTCTGTTTGTGCGGAGAGAGCACTGACTGCTGTGCTGTGCTGATGTCTGAGGTGAGGACACACAGCTGGAGCAGCTGGAGTAGATGAGGAGCACAGGTGTGTGCAGAACAGCTGTAGGGCTGGGGCTTAGAGCACAAGACCAGAGTGGATATAGGATGGGCTCTGACATGCAGGCTATTCTGCAGCATGGATGCAGCGCATGGGCTAGGGAGGAAGGTGGATCCTTGTGGAGTGTTTCAGCAACTGCTCCTGTCTGCCTGCAGGGTTCCTCAGCAGTAGTGGTGTGAACTGGCTGCTCCTTGGCAGAGGAGGTTCTGAATTCAGTGCCAGTGCACACTAGAGAGTCTTTTGCTGTGATACCTCAGGAGGTCGGTGATTATCTCAAGGTTGTTGATGACTTCAGTGGCAAAGGTTCTGGGTTTCTCCCCAAAGTAAGGCCCTAGGAACCATGGTGGTGTCTGCCTGCCAGACTACTGATACAGAGACTCCCATGCTCCTCTGAGCCCGCCTGTTTCCAGATGTCTCTGCTAAGCCTGTCCTCCCCAGTGGGCCTTCTGTCCCTCCTCTCCACCCCCCTCCCCTCTTTTTTTCTCTTTCTCTCTCTCTCTTTTCTGCTGTGATCCTGATGATTGATCCCTGGCCTCGAGCATTCAAACACCCCACCACTGCCACAGTCTCCACCCACATACCTGTCTTCATTTTATGTTAATTGAGTTATTGAGCTCTTCCTAGGCTGTGTATTCCACGGACAGCTGTCTTTTAGTTTGGGTTTGTTATAGAAGTAAGGAAACAAGAACCTTTTACTTTGCCATCTTTCTGATAACATTCTTGCAAACTCTCCTTTAATCTGTGGTTTATATTTGTTAATCCCACCGAATGAGAGTAAAGACCATTACCCAGATTCTCTGGTTAAATTTAGCAAACCTTGTTTTCTATCATTCAGGCTGTCTCCCTAAAGTGGGGTTTGCAAAAATAGCATTGGACACAGGAGAGAAGAGGGTTTCTATAGTCCAAAACTGTAAGACTAGAGGGTTTTCAAGGGTTGGAGGATTTCCAGAGGAATTTTGGCTACATAGGAACTTGGCTGAACATTTTAACATTATTTGGCAGACCATCTGATCTTATCAGGGTGTATTCAGTATGTGAGTCAACTCCATAGGGTGGGGAGCGTGTCACATTCCAGAAACAGTTAACGCATGGTCAACTTTGGCAGCAAACAGTAATGAACTTGTTCTGACCTTATAACAAAATGGCCTCCATCTTTAAGATGGAGCCAGTCTGGTCCATCAGTGTTTTCACTTCTGGTTTTTAATTTTTATTTATGTATACGGGTTGTCTGAGTGTATACCATGTGAATACAGGTGCCTGTGGAAACCAGAGGAGGGCATAAAAACTCCTAGAGCTGGGTACAGGCAGTTGAGAGCCCTGTACATAGGTGCTGGGCACCTGGGAGAGCAGCAGTTGCTTTTCACCACTGATCCATCTCTCTAGCTCCCCCTCCCTTTTCCTCATTCCTTTAACAGAGAGTCTTCTGAAGAGCAGATGTCTTTCATTTTATCTTTTATGAATTATATTTTTGGCCCTTACTTAAAAGTTCTGTTTTTGGATATTGAATCCTGTGGGCTCAGCATGCTAAGCAAAGGCTTTGTATCTGATGAAGCTATACTACCAGGCTTCTTTACTTTGTTTTAGATTTATTTTTACCATATTTAATTATGTGTGTATTAGGTAGGGTTTCTATTGCTGTGATGAAACACCATGACCAAAGCAATTTAGTGAGGTTTATTTGGCTTATGCTTCCACATCACAGTTCATCATCAAAAGAAGTCAGGACAGGAACTCAAACAGGGCAGGAACTTAGAGGCAGGAGCTGATGACAGGCCACGGAGGGGTGCTGCTTACTGGTTTGCTCCCCATGGCTTGCTCAGCCTGCTTTCTTTCTTTTTTCTTTAATTTTTCATTTTACATACCAACCACAGTTCCCATCCCCTCCTCACCTTTCCCCTATCCCACCCCCCTATCTACTACTCAGAGAGGATAAGGCCTCTCTGGCATATCAAGTTGAGGCAGGAACAAGCCCCTCCCCCTGCTTTCTTATAGAACCCAGGACCACCAGCCCCAGCGGTGGCCCCACCCACAATGGACTGGGCCCTCCACCTTCAGTCACTGTTTATAAAAATGCCTCACAGCTTGAGCTCATGGACATAAACTATCTAGCACAGTGTGTGATTACATGTGGACATGTGCACATGAATGAAGATGCCCAAGAAGGCCAGAGCATTGGATCACCCGGTGCTAGAGTTACAGAAGACTGAGCTTCCTGACATGGGTGCTGGGAACTGAACTCTGGTTCTCTGTAAGAGCAGCAAGTGCTCTTGAGCACTGAGCTGTCTCCAGCCTTCCTTCCAAGCTTCTTATGGAAGAACTGTCCGACGTAAGGAAGGACAAAAGGACTTTTCTTACAGTTAAGTTCATATTTAGTTTATTTTTGCACATAGTATGAATGTAGATCAAGATTTTTTTTTTTGTTTTTGTGCTTTTAAAAGAAAATTTGAATATGGCAATGGATGTTATGTGAACTTCCTTTAAGAAGTTATAGTTTAAATATTTGAGAAACTGCTACAAAATGTGGAGATAAAGCACTTGATCATGTGTTTCCTGGAGGGAGTGTGGTGGCTTGTATTTCAAGATAGGAGCATGAACTCTGGAGCAGGATTGGCCATTACTACATTTCGAACAGTAAACTTTTTTTTTTTTTTTTTAAGATTTATTTATTTACTAGGTATACAGTGTTCTGTCTGCAGGCCAGAAGAGGGCACCAGATCTCATTACAGATGGTTGTGAGCCACCATGTGGTTGCTGGGAATTGAACTCAGGACCTTTGGAAGAGCAGTCAGTGCTCTTAACCTCTGAGCCATCTCTCCAGCCCTCGAACAGTAAACTTTTAATAGACAATGAACAATAGTTTTTGAAATAGTGTTAAGCACAAAAAGACAGTGTCTGTAACATTGTTTTTCACTTGCCAACTTTTGCCCTTTATGAGTCCAGAATTTTCCCTTTGTTGTGTGTAAGTGGAAGGAGACAGAAAAATAATGCAATGTACTAACACAGTACGAATGTGTGCTGGTGTTTGGGTTCTCTTAGATAGAAGTGTCTACTGGGTTGTGATGTAAAATTTTTGCTGTGGAGTATAATCAGAAGATTTGAAAGTTACTCTTCTAGAATAATTTTATGATATGAAATATCAAAATGTTTGATATGAAATAATTTAGAATCATTTTTATTTCACATTTAGGTGTGAGTTCTTGATCCGGATGAAGGGGCAGGAGTTTGTTGATGAGATTCAAGCTAGATATCCTCATCTTCTTGAACAGGTAAACTGATTCTTCAAATTAACATGAGCACTGGGGAGAGACTCATTTGGTAAAGTGTCTACTAGGCAATATGAGGCCCTGAGTTCAGATCCCAGCACCGGAAGCTGGGTGTGGCAGCATGCACGGTAACTAGGGTGTTAGAGACCAATGAATCTGTGGAGCTCTCTGGCCAGAAAATCGAGCCATTCAGGGAGTTCCAGGTTGAATGAGACAGAGACCCTATTTATATCTGTTTTATTAGTTCTGTGTACAAAATTTTTGAGGCAAAATTGGAGTTGATCAAGAAGTTCTTGTAGCGGATTTTAAGCACCATAGTTAGGAAAAAGAAATGTTCTTAGAAAGAAAGACACGCCGGGCGGTGGTGGCGCACGCCTTTAATCCCAGCACTCGGGAGGCAGAGCCAGGTGGATCTCTGTGAGTTCGAGGCCAGCCTGGGCTACCAAGTGAGCTCCAGGAAAGGCGCAAAGCTACACAGAGAAACCCTGTCTCGAAAAAAAAAAAAAAAAAAAAAAAAAAAAAAAAAAAAAAAAAGAAAGAAAGACACACATGAGGTTGTGGGTGTGTGCTTAGTAGAGCGGTGGAGTTCATGGTATTGTCTTGTAGCTATGGTAACGGCATCCTTGGCAGTTTTGTTGCTAGCTTGCTGTTCAGGCTTCTCTATAAATACTGATTTTTACTTTTACTCTTGAAAAATACTACATTCTGCCATATACAGAATTTTTTAATGGGGTTGAAGAGGTATCTTCAATGTCTCTCGTCTTTTCCAGAAAACAAGCAAAAAACCTTGTTAGGAGTTAAACCTTTTAAGAGTTATCCAAATGAAATATCACTTTCCAAATGGAGTGAGGAGCCACTGATGTATCTTCCTGTTCTCTGAAGTGGAGATACACTTGAATCCTGACTTGGATGTAGATCAAGTGTAAGCATAGCCGTGCGAATATTATGGTGAAAGAAAACCAAGTGCAGTGCACACGTGCATTATTTGTTTTAGAGGTTTGAGACATGCAGCCGAGGGAGGGATGCCTTGAACTTCCTTCCTCAACCTCCTAGGTGCTGCACTTACAGGAATGTGCTAGCGTACCTGGCCTAAGATGTCTGTCTGCACCAGCCCGTTTCCAAAGGGTGTGTGCATTTACTTAAAGTAAATGTTGTTGTTTGCTTGGGTGTGGTGGCTCACCCCTGTCATCCGAGTGCTTGGAAAGCTGAGGCAGGAAGATTGCCATGAGTTCTAGGCAGCCTCAGCAACAGAGTGAGACCCTATCTCACAGCAAGGCAAGTCCCTGACTGTGCTGTTTAGACTGTTTGAGATTTCTGATTTACCTGTCAAGTGTTCTCTTATTTCATAGCTGTTGTCCACTTCAGACACCCCAGAAGAAAATTCTGAACCTCCAAGTAAGTAGGAAAACATCTCAAATACAACAGAGTTTTTGTAAGAATGTTAGGAATGAAAGTATATTAGAGGAAGTCATGTGGGGAACTGCAGGATGTTAACTAGAAAATTTAGGTGTCCACTAAGATTCGTGACATTTTCAAAGATCCAAGGACGTTTATTGGTCTTCACAGTGCTGACATTCCATGTGAGACAACAGGACACAGGCAGAAAACAAACAGGCTGAAGCAGGGCCAGTGAGAGGTGTGGTGGGTACGCTCTGCCTCCAGAGGGCGAGGCTGCTGTGCGAATGTGTTAGAAAAGGCCCAGTGTGCACTTGATCTGTGATGGGGCCAGAAGTCAGTATAAAGGAGGTGCATAGTATTCAGTGCAGGGTCTCTGGATTAGAGCGGAATTTTTTTTTTTTTTTTTACAAGGCAGGGTTTCTCTGTGTAGTTTTGGTTCCTGTCCTGGAACTGGACATGCTGGCCTCGAACTCACAGGGATCCGCCTGGCTCTGCCTCCCAAGTGCTGGGATTAAAAGTGTGCACCACCACCGCCCGGCTAGAGCTGAATCTTAACCATACTCAGTAGTTGATGTATGTGATCTCCATGTGTCATGGTCCCCAAGTGGTTGAGTAACTATCACTTTATGTGCGAATCACATCAGAAGGGGAGTTTTGGCTCACCATTTCAAGAGAGGCAATGGCAGCTTTTTAGCTGGAACAGAGAAAGAGGACCAAGACCTAGAAGTCATGGAAGCTGTGACTCTGCAGTAGATAAGGGACCTGGTCATGGAAGGAAGAAGGAGTACTAAGTGTGTGGTACTACCCCTGTGTAGAAGAACCAGGGAGATGAAGTAGTGGGTACCTGTTCTTATTTAGTGTTTCTTTAGGCGGGGGCTGAGGCTAGACTCCAGGGCCTTGTGTATGCCATGCTGCACCATGCTATATTTCCAGCCTCTTAAAACTTACATCTTACTTTTGTTGATACAATCACTTTGTCAGTCTTCAGAATGACTGTTGGACCTTTTCTTTCTTCACAGATTTCTGTTTTTAATTTACAAAATTCTTTTTAAAAGAATGTGTAAGAGATTGTGTACATGTGTGTCTGATGCATGTTTGGACGTGTGTGTGACAGTGCACATACACAGATGAGAAGACAGTTCTCAGGAGTCAGTTCTCTTAGCTTTACATGGGTGGGGTCTGGGAATCACTCTGGCTTGCCTGGCAAGTGCTTTCCACTGGGCGACATCTCAGCGGCACTAGGCTCTTCCCACAGTTTTCCTAGGTCATGTGCTTCACTGAGAAAACAGAAGAATGAGAAGAGAACTCTTGTCTACGTATCAGAACCACTGGTCTCCATGAACTCTTCTCTGTTCATTCTTTCTTTATTTCCCCTTTATTCGTTCATTTCTGAGACGCGGTTTCATAATGTGGCCCGAGCTGGCTTTGAACTTTGAATCCTCTGGCTCTGCCTCTGCATGCTCTGTTACAGGAAATGCCGTCATACCTGGCTTCATCCTCTGGATCATGCCCCCGGCTGCCAATTTGTAAATGTAGCTTTGGTAATGACATGAGGCAAAGGTCCCCTCGTGTCGTGGTCACCGGAAACTGCTGTATTAGCAGGCCTCTTACTTAGCGATAGCTGTTATTTGGTACAGTTGAGTGCTGTATTCTTGGCTGCCCTAAACTTGGGATCCTGCAGCTTTTCCTCCCCAGCACTGGGTGACAAGCACACTCCAGCACGTGGGCTTTTGTCCTCAGCACACCCTTTGGTTGGCTTCCTTGACATTCTTGGGTTTTTCCTGTGTCTTGTGTTGATTCTGAGCAGTCTCCTTTGCTAGCTCCTTTTTCATATTTCTGAGTGACAGGCTACCATATGAAGTGTCAGTCAGATGGGTGCCAGGTGGCAATGTCCAGTTACCCGCTTAAATTTAAAGTGCCTCCATTTCTGGCTGAAGAGCCGTTTCAGTAAACACGCCAAAGCACAGGGTTCCTCAGTTTTGTTCCTCAGAGCTTCTGCTCTCACTCTCCTCATTGCAGTTCATAGCACCAGCTACAGAACCAGCTGGGCCTGCACAAGATGTCCAGATGCTCACCGACTACCCACTGCCAGCCTCATCCGTGCTACCTGATCTGCCTGCACAGTTCTCCCTCATCCTAGGTTGCCCCAAGCCCATCTGCAGCATTTCTAGTCACCTTTGGAATAGTCCTCTGCTCAAGACCCTCCTAGAGTATTCTGGCAAACTTGGGGTGGTGGAGACACTCCATCCATTGGCTGCTGTCCTCACTGTCTACTACTGTCTTTATTTCTTGATCATGCCAAGCTTTGTCCTGTTTAAGACTGTTAACTCGGGGCTGGAGAGATGGCTCAGTGGTTAAGGGCACTGGTTGTTCTTCCAGAGGTCCTGAGTTCAATTCCCAGCAACCATGTGGTGGCTCATAACCATCTGTAATGAGATCTGGTGCCCTCCTTCTGGCCTACAAGCATGCATGTAGGTAGAACACTGTATACATAATAAATAAATAAATCTTAAAAAAAAAAAGACTTAACGCTTGCTGGTCTCTTTCAGACATTCCATCACTTACTTTATCACATCAGTTTCAAGATTTTATTTATTTTTCAGTGTTATTTTCTGTAGGAGGTGTCAGAGATCAAGGCTGTTTTGGTCTCTTCAGACATGCTTTTGGGGAGGTTGCTCTCCACACTTTTGACATTGGACATTTGTGTGTTTATTGTACCAGTTTCCAGCAGATGGCAGTAGAGTGTCTTGGAAAATTATCTGTGACAGCGCAGCACAGGATGAGCTCGCACTGACTCCGTTAACAGAAATGCTTCCCCAGCCCATCCTCTCAGAAATGGCCTCCCAGTTCCTGTTTTCATCACCTTAGATTTTCATCTCGATAGCCTCTCTGTTTAGAATATCATTGCTTTGCTTATTAACTATGTGTTTTCATTCTTTCTTTATGCTTCCCATCTTTGTTGTTTTTTCTGTCTCATTTATGTACCTGTTTAGACATTCTTCATCTTCAAGTCTGATAGATCTCCATTGGTGGTGTGAATCCAGCCCAAGTGTTCATGTGTGCTTGGCAAGAACTCACCACACTGTGCAAAGCCCCAGCCCCACACCTAATCCCTTTATGGGGGAAGGGAGTAGATGGATATATGATTGCTAGAAATGGAATCTTCAAGCATGCCAGACAAGTCCTCTACCTAGGCTACACCCCTATTTCTTAATTAAAATTTTTAATGTGCTATCAACCAAATGCTAGATAAGCATTCTACCAAGGAGCTGTACCTCCATGTTAACCCTATTTCCTGTGTTTATTTTTTTATTTTTATTTTTTAAGGGTGTAGCTTATTAAATCTTGTTTTTGAGTGTCAGGAAAGGACCCAAGGCTTTATTTTTGCTGTCACATGTTCAGTTTCCCCGATTTTCCTGCTTGGAGGTAATTTCTCACTCCTTTATTTTTGTAGCACATTAGTTTTTTTTTTTTTTTTTTTTTTTTTATTTTTTGAGACAGGGTTTCTCTGTGTAGCTTTGCGCCTTTCCTGGAACACGCTTTGGAGACCAGGCTGGCCTCGAACTCACAGAGATCCGCCTGCCTCTGCCTCCTGAGTGCTGGGATTAAAGGCGTGCGCCGCCACCGCCTGGCTAGCACATTAGTTTTTTAAAAAGGATTTATATTAGAATCATTTAGGAAGATCTTGTATTCCATTTAATTGGGTGTGAGAGAGACACAGAGACAGAGAGGGTTAATTACTTCGGGAGTCAGTCCTCTATTGTGAGCTTCAGGAATTGAATTTGGGTAGGCTTGTGCAGAAAACACTTGTACCATGACCCATCTTGCCTGCTTAATTTTTGAAAAATTAAAAAGAGCGTATTTATTTATTTATTGTGTATGTGTGTGTAGTCAGACGTTTCTCTCCAACCAGCTATTTCCCAAATAACCACTCAGTGGCTTCATATTACCTATAAATGCTCGACCATTAGCTCATACTTATTACTGACTAGCTCTTACACTTAAACTAACCCATAATTCTTACCTATGTTTAGCCATGTGGCTTGGTACTTTTTCTCAGTATGACGTTCTCATCTTGCTTCTCTGCATTTTGCCAGAGACTCCTGACTCTGCCCTTCCTCATTCCATTGTTCTCAGTTTGGCTTTCCCACCAACTGTATCCTGTTGAGCTATTGGCCAGTCAGGTTGTTTATTAAACCAATCACAGCAACATGTATTCACACAGTGTAAAGGAATATTCCACAGCATGTGTGGGTGCCCATGCCACAGCATGTGTATGGAGGTTAAGAGGACAACTTTGGGGGCTGGAGAGATGGCTCAGCAGTTAAGAGCACTGGCTGCTCTTCCAGAGGACCCAGGTTCGATTTCTAGCACTTACATGGCAGCTCACAACTGGAGTCTGTGGCTCCAGTTCCAGGGGAATCTGATGCCCTTATACAGATACACATGCAGGCAAAACACCAGTCCACATAAAATAAATAAATAAATAAATAAATAAATTTTAAAAAAAGAGGAAGGCTTTGGGGAGTTGGTTCTTTTCTCCTCCTTATGGGTCCTGTGATTTGAACTTCAGGTTGGCAAGAAGTGCCTTTACCACCGAGCCATCTCCTCAACACTGGTGAAATGTTTAACAGCACAGATGCCTAGGCCTGTTGCTAAGAGATTCTTTTTATTAAGTGTGTCTAGGATGTATGAACCATAGGAAGTAATTTGTTAAATGCATAGTGCATTAACTGGACTCTCATTTACCCATTATCAAGTTTAAATTTTATTGAAGTTAATTTAATTTAATTGATGCATATGCTATATCTCTCTTATCAGGATATGAGAATAAAGGTGCTACAGTCATTATTTTCCATACTTTTAAATATATGGAGTTTAACATTATCAAATTTGTTTATGATCAGTTGTGCATTTTGGACCTGGCGAAAGTTCAGAAGATGCGGTCATGATGAGCACGCCCGTGGTTAAAGCGGCTTTGGAAATGGGCTTCAGTAGGAGCCTGGTGAGACAGACGGTTCAGCGTCAGATCCTGGCCACCGGGGACAATTACAGGACCGTCAGTGACATTGTCTCCGCACTTCTTAATGCTGAGGATGAAAGAAGAGAGGAGGAGAGGGACAGACAGACTGAAGAAGCGGCGTCAGGTATTGTAGGGTTGGTGGCGACAGTTTCTCAGTCACACGTTACAGGGCAGCACCCTCAGCTCACCCATGCATTGCTGCTGACACCGCTCCCCGCCCCAGTATTTCTAAACTCTGTTTGCCAAGCCCAGGCTGGCTTTAGATTTGATCTGTAGCGAGTACTGCCGTTGAATTCCCTAACCCCACCACCAAAGTACTGGGATTACATATATGTGCCACCATACCCAGATTCATAATAAACTTTTTTCTTAAGCTATATTGCAGTTTTTCTTTTTACATAGCTAAATTTAAAAAGCATGATTTCAAGGGTTGGGGAGACAGCTCAGTGACTAAGAGCTTTTGCTGTTCTTGCGAAGGGCCTGAGTTGGTTCTTATCACCCATGTGGAGTCAGTCCAGTGTCTGAAACTCCAGTTCCAGGGTATCTGACACCCTCTTGTGACCTGGTACACATACATACACTCAGGCCCGTACACATACACAAAAATGAATACTTGTGACCTTTGCATGCACCTGGTATACATACATACACTCAGGCTCATATACACACACATAAAAATGAATACTTTTTTTTTTCTAAAGCAGTATTTAAAAACTGATTCTGAGCTTGTTGTAGTGGAACATGCCTAATTCCTATACTCCTGGAATTCAGGAGAGAGAGGCAGGAGTATGCCAAGTTCACAATCTGCCTGGGCTACATAGCAAGAATCTCTTTTTAAAAGATTCTGATTTTCCTACTTTTTAAATAAAGTTCCTTCAAATCTATATGGTATTTTACTAGTAATCCTTGGTAGGTGCTTCTTACACCAAAAAAACAATTTAAGGTGACATCCTGGCCTGTGGTCCTTTGCCCAACCCAAGGATTTTGATTATTTGTGTAGATTTTTTTTTTCATATCTTAACCTCCCAGAACAAGTCTGAGTAATTACATCTAAGAAATATTTTCATATGTCTAAGTATGTGAACCGCGGAGGTAAGTATGTGAAAGTGCTGGCTGCTCTCGAGCGTGCAGAGCAGCTGGGAAAACTAGGTTACAGAAGACGGTCTGAGAGCCAGCAGAGGGCCGGTAAGGGGGCTCAGTGGAGAAGGGTGCCTGCTGTCTACCCTGACAGCCTAGCTCAGGACCTGAGACGCCATGGTCGGAGGAGAGAGCCAGCTCCTACAGACTGTCCTCTGACTGCTGCTATGGCGCTTCTCATACACACACACACACACACACACACACACACACACACACACACACACAGTACAAAACCCTAAAAGAGCTGACAGAGAAGTGGCGGCTGTATGTGTAGTGTAAATGGGGTACTGGGTTGGAAGACAGCTTTGTCCTTAAGTAAAGGTAGGCATAGTTCAGGCCAGGGGCACTTGCTGCCAAGCCTGACGGCCGAGTTTGCTGCCAGGACCAACATGGTGGAAGGTGAGAACTGATCAGTTCTCCTACAAGTTGCTTGATGTGGCACATCCCCCCCCCACCCCCAGGAAGAAAATGTTAGGAAAAAAAAGGACTAGTCCAAGATAGCCTTGTTGTATGACCATATAGCAACGTGTTTAAAAGTCTAACTTCCAGATTGAGACAGATTGGCGTTTAAATTCTGGCCTGTTTGGTTAATAGGTAAGCAGCTCATTCAACTAAATTTGGAGTTTCTTACCTCCGAAGTAAGGTATTCTCTTATGAACAAGCTAGATTCAGTTTCTAAAGCTGCACTATAAATTTAGATTTATGAAATGCGCCTGGTATTGTGCTAAGTGGTTTATGTGTATTTTATTGAACTCTTTAAGGAAGGTGCTGTTATTCATATTTCAGATCAGGAAGCTGAGGTGTATGGCAGGGGAATGGCTAGACTTAACTGTGAGCCCGCTAAGTCCGTCTTGACTTGTAGCTTAAGCTTTTGAGTGCTGTAGTTCATAGATGTCACAAAGGATGTCAGCACGATGCAAACCAGGCTTAGTGGTTCATGTGTGGAACCCCAGCACTTAGAAGGGAAGAAGAGTCATGAGGATCAGGGCCATTCTTGGCTACATATGGAGCTTGAATACTTAAGGTCCTATCTTAGTAAATAACAAACCAAAAAATTCAGCTAGTTTAGGACTGGGTTGACAGCTCATTTTGTGGCCTTTGACAAGCCACTCATGCTATTCTGAGGCTCCCTATCTGGAAGATAGTTGACATTTTGAATATGATAATTTGTGTGCCTCTGCTTGTAAGCAAAGTGATATAATATAGATAAAAATAAATTACTTTTGCATTCCATGGTGGGGAAAGAGAAAGAAAAAGAGGCACATGCTTTACTATTCATCAGTATTTAGACTTGAAAGCTTGTGTATGTGCTTTGTGGGCCGTCTGAGTTTAATCTGGAAGTTTGAGATGGCAGCAGCGAGGTGCACACAAGTCAGTTTCCTGCAGCTCAGCTTAGTGCCTCATTTGTGCATAGGGTTGGTTGGGTGTAGTTGGGGGCATTTGAAATGTAATGCACTTTTTTCTTGCTTGTTTTGAACTGAAGGTGACTTGTCATTAATTCGGAAGAATAGGATGGCCCTCTTTCAACAGTTGACGTGTGTCCTTCCGATCCTGGATCATCTTCTTGAGGCCAGTGTAATCACTAGACAGGAACATGATATCATCCGACAGAAAACACAGGTGCCCTTACAAGCACGAGAGCTGATTGACACTGTTTTAGTCAAAGGAAATGCTGCAGCCAATATCTTCAAAAACTGTCTGAAGGAAATTGACTCCACATTATATGAAAACTTATTTGGTGAGTTTTTTTGGGAAAATTATTTAAATAGCTATATAGGTTTTTGTTCATCTCTCTGTTGAGCAAGCAGAATAAACCCAGTTAAATTGTAATCTTTACATTTTACCTATTCAAAACAAAAACAGAAACCTGGTGTATTTTGCTGTCTAGGTTGTATTCTTTATAATATATATTAAAAATCCATATAAAAATAGTAGATTTAAAGTGTTTTGTATTGATAGAGATAGATTTTTGTATGCTTTCTTTTTTCAGTGGAAAAGAACATGAAGTATATTCCAACAGAAGACGTTTCAGGTAAAGCACAGTTAATACTCGACATTGTTTCTGTCACTCTTGAGAAGCTGCATTTACCAATGCTCTTTTTCTCTAACTTAGGCTTGTCCTTGGAAGAGCAGTTGCGGAGACTGCAAGAAGAACGAACTTGCAAAGTGTGTATGGACAGAGAGGTTTCTATTGTGTTCATTCCTTGTGGTCATCTGGTAGTCTGCCAGGAGTGTGCCCCTTCCCTGAGGAAGTGCCCCATCTGCAGGGGCACGATCAAGGGGACTGTGCGCACATTTCTCTCATAAATGAAGAGTGGTTTAAAGTATCGTTGGACACCAGAAGCTGAACAAAGAATGAATTACTGATTCAACGAGTACATTCATGTTTGCTCTTCTCCAGAGTTAGTAATCCTGCTTCATGAAAGATAGTATTGTATATTTAATTTGTTTAGTTGCAAGAGAAGGTCCGTGCTGGTCAGCTAAGGAGCGTGAATGTATAAAAACAGGAGTGGTGGTGCTTGCTGTGTGTCATTCAGGAGTTACTGGGTTTGGAGTTTGTGAAAGCTTTAGATTCGGGTGACGTGGAGCTCAGAAATCCTGGAAACCAGTAGCCCTGTCACCCAGCAGTTACAGTGCCTCATGCTTCATGGTGCTTCTTTTTCTCCTTCCTGGAGAATAAGAATTTTTCTGTTACTTGGTAAATAAGATTCCCCTAATTGTGAGAAACGTACTAATAAAGTGTTTTTGAAAGGCTTGCATCATCACAGTGTATTTTCTACCCCGACTTAAAAAAAGTAAGTAATTTTCTTAAGACTTCATTGTACTCATTTGCTCTTAGGTAAAAAAATGAATTCATAAAACAAATTATTAAAGTGTTTCTAATGATGCAATTCATGAGAATTCCTTTAGCTAACAAACTGTGTATGCTTTGCAAATAAAGCAATGGGTGAAGACTTCACTATCAAAAAACTCAGATAAAGCTACCTGAGAATTTACAAGAAACAGTATACTAGCCTGGTATGTAGGTGTTGATAGGATTGGGGATAGGACACAGTCAATGATAAGTAGTACCCTCTTTGTGGACCAAATCATACATGATCAGTCCCAAAAGTAGGTTGGTAGACTTGTGAAAATTTAAGTATATTTAAAAAACAAACAAACAAACAAACAAAAAAAAAACAAAAAACAAAAAAAAACATGGTGGTATATGCTTTTAATTCCAGCACTCAGGAGGCTGACGCAAGTGGATCTCTGAGTTTGAGGTCAGCCTGGTCTACAGAGAGAGTTCCAGGATGGGCAGAATTTACACAGAGAAACCCTGTCTCGAAAAACAAACGAAACAAAATGGCCTGGTGGTACCTCAGTCTGCCTCAGTCTCAGCAGAGGCAAGTGGATCTCTCTGCTGGTTGGTTTTTGACAACCTAACAAATTTAGACATAGCTGAGAAGAGGGAATCTTAATTGAGAACATACATAAGATGGGCTTGTAGGCATGTCTGCGGGACATTTTCTTGATTTAAAATTGATGTGGGAGGGCCCAGCCCATTTTAGGTGGTGCCATTCCTGGGCAGGTGGTCCTGGATGGTATAAGAAAGCAAACCAGTAAGCATCACACCTCCATGGCCTCTGCTTCAGTTCCTGCTCTGACTTCCCTCAGTGATGGAGTGTTGTGACCTGAAAGTTTTAAGCTGAAATAAACCCTTTCCTTCCCAAGTTGCTTTGGTTATGGTGTTTTATCATAGCAATAAAAACCCTGACCAAGACAGAACAAACATGGCCTGGACTACATAGTGAGTTCCAGAGCAGCCAGGGATAGCTAATAATACAAAACCAACCAGCCAGAAACCAAGCCCCTCTGTGTTAGGGCTCTCTAGAGTAACAGAACTTTGTATAAAAAGGGGATTTATTAGAATGACTTATAGGCTGCAGTGTTGCTAATCCAACAGTGGCTGGCCATGAATGGAAAATCCAATAATCTAGTAGTTGCTCAGTGTCCTTAAATAGGCTTTCAGCAGAAGGTGTGGTCCAGAATAATGTGTTTTCCCAGTTCAAAGGATGTGGATTAAAAGTGTGTCTTCTCAACTCAAGATCCTGATTGGAAGTGAATTTTCCTACTTCAAGTTAAGCAAAAATCCATTACAGGTGTGCCCTCCATTTTTGGGTTTTAGTTAATTCCAAATATAGTCAAGTTGACAACCAAGAATAGCTATCCATTTTTTCTTACTCCACAAGGTTAGGGTAGTGTTTAGACTCGAGGAAGGTGGATAAAATCTTTGCCTTCTACTCTTCTGGGAATGTTCCCATCCTGTCTTGATTGTTTTTGTAAAGATTTGTTTCTATTTATGTCTGTGTTTCTGTCTGTACATGTGTGCAGTTGTCCACAGAGGGTGTTGTAACCCTGGTGCTGGGGTTGTGAACTCTGGTCATCTTGAAGAGCAGCAAATGCTCTAAATCCCTGGGCCATTTCTGAAGCTCTGTCAGGATAAGTAAATGCCACTGCCAAGGTTCAGAATCTTGTATTAGCAAGAGAAAGTTTGTCCATACCACCATGGGGGAAATGCAAAGAAGTTTCTTAAACATAGTAGGTCTAAAACATGCCAAACTTTTTATCTTCATCTTGGACCTATTATGAATGATTTCTGATGAGTCATTCAGCTTTCTCAGGGAGTAAAATTAGAAGTTTTCCAGTCAAACAACCCAGTTAGAACTTACCCCAAGATGAGGATGTAGGCAGTTCAGTGCCAGGCCATCTGAGTTTTATCTCAGACTCCGCAATTCAAAAACAAAAACAAGCCCTTCATGCCCTCGTAAGTGGTAGCCAGTCCTTTTAGAACTTACTGTTTAGGGGCTGGAGAGATGGCTCAGAGGTTAAGAGTACTGGCTGTTCTTCCAGAGGTCCTGAGTTCAATTCCCAGCAACCACATGGTGGCTCACAACCATCTACAATGAGATCTGGCGCTCTCTTCTGACCTGTAGGCGAATACTCACTGTAGACAAAATAAATAAATCTTTAAAAAAAAAAAAAAAAAAAAAAAAAACAACAACAACTTGCTGTTTAATCTCTTAGCCCTTTGCTTACTACTGGCTAGTATGCACTGAGGAGTCACTGTCTGCCAAGCAACTGAGCTGTCCTCTGGCCTGAGTTTTGATTTTGGAGTTTATAATATGGGAACTGAGAATGAATGCAATTGCATTTGGAAATAGGTCTTTAAAAGCAGTAATCAAGGAGAAGTATCATGTTGGTGAGTTCCAGTCTGTGTTTCACCTCTGAGGGGCAAGGTATCCTGGCAGTCAGGAGCCAAGGAATACCACAAAGCCATACCACACAACAAACCTCACACAAGAGCCTGGGAGGAAAGAACTCAGGAGAGTGGCTGCCTCTGCTTGGACAAGAAACAGCAGAGAACTGAGCCGCAGACAGGGCTTATATAGCTTCTTGGGGTTGAGTTGGAGCTTTCCAGGGTGGGGATAGGTGGGATTTCAAGTTCAGAGCTTGGGCTTCTTACTCTGTAGGGCAGGACAGTTAGAATGTTCTGGGTGTGGAACCTGGCAGTTGGAGGTCCTCGGGGAGGGGCCTGGCCCCTTGTGTGGCTCAAGGGAGGGGCTTACATTTCTCCCTTTTTGTTCATTATTGATAAACAATCAGGTTATGGGAAAGGGAGGCAATAGTATCATTAGATAACTTCCTGCTGAATCAGGATGTTCAAGTCCTTTGGGCGGACTTGATCATCAGTATCATCAGGAGTCGCTGGCCTCTGGGTCTGGCTTCTAGGTAATCCTGTAATAGCAGCTGGTTAAAAATCTGGTTAGAAATCTTTTGAATCTATTGTTGAAGAAATCTAGACAAGAAATTTATAAGGCAGGGTGTGACTAGTAGGATTAAGAAAAGCAGGAGAAGGGGGTTAAGGGTAGTATCCAATTCCATGTTAGACTGTCAGTGAGCCACTGGCCAGAGCTGTTTGTTACATTTTTGGAGATTTATCTGGAGTTGTCAGATCTTGTCAACATTTCTCCCCGAGGAAGAGACAAAGACCACTTCTCTCTGCTGTTAGTAAATCTCACCCTTGCTGACTCTGAGCACTATGAAGGCCACTATTTGGCCATGGAGCAGCAGTGTTGGAGGTCCTGGATGAACTGAGAGGAAAGCGGATGGTCAATCCTGCCGTTTCAGTGGTGATGCAGCGGTGTTACACCCAGGGCTGTGAGAAAGGGTTGCGCCATAACCCTGTGATGAGAAAAGAACACTGGGGCACAAGTCCCAGACCACCCAGTGGGTGGGCAGTAGTCACCCTGAGTGCCACAGAGGATTGAGGCATTGTAAACATTCAGACAAGGGCTGGGTCGCAGTGCTCAAAGTATAATTACAGTCTGAGGCATCCTGTGTGCCCACATGAAGTGTGTCCCTGAGTAGTTAAAACAGTCTGTGATACCGAAGGGAAAGATGGGAGAGGTAAGGGGTGGGAGTGGTAATTGGCTCAGAGCAGTTAAGAGAGGTAGGGTGAGAGTCTAGTCCAATGAACGATGGTCATGAGTGTCACCGGGTGGGGGGGGACGACGACACACAGACGAGAGAGAGACACACACACACACACACACACACACACACACACACACACACACACACACACAACCAGTGCCATCATGGTGGTCAGAGTGTTGGTGCCTGATTGCAATTAGGGTGGCCCAGATTTGTCCCATGGTATTTTCAGGACAATATGGGTACCTCTTCATGTTTCTGGCCACTTCTTATAGTAAACTTCCTTTTGGTCATAGAGAAACAGGCACGGGGTAAGCCATGGTGAAGGAGAGATGAATAAGGGGGTTGTAGGGTACTGAATCAGCCTTTGGCAGCCTGATATAGAGCAATTTCCCAGCCCTATTAGAATAGGCTGTTGGTTAGAGGTGGAGGTCTCTTGGATGTTAAACATTCATATGTCAGCTACCCTGGACAGGTATAGATAGGAAGAAACAGGAGGAGAGAGCAAGTCTAGACATCAAATCAGTAACTTGAGTTAGTTTGAAATGTTGAGATGTGGTCATGGCTGAAAAGTATAGAACATCCTCTACCAGTGCTACCTGAAGAGAGAGGACTTGGGAAGGGAGGAGTGTTTGGAGGACCTTGTATGTTAGGAGGTGGGGCAGGTGTTGGGGAGACAGCACTACAGGTGACCCCAAGGGTAACGTTTTTGATTCACGTATAAGAAGTTAGGCTGTGGCCAGAGGTACATTATTGTATGTTAATACATGGAGGTGTAGTGTTAAAAAACCTCATTAAACAAGAATTGTTTTTAAATCTTCCCTGGATAAAACAATTCAAGAATTGTTTTAAATGTTTTCAGAAACTCATGCAGTGTTCTGAGCTCTGGACACCAGAGCAGCCATAGCAGGCAGTATTAGCAGTGGTGACTGGCAGCTGGCAGCACCAGCAAGAGCCCAACAAAACCAACCAACACAGAATGCAGAGAGCTCACACACTCCAACAAGATCACAGAGAGCTCACACACTCCAAGAAGACCACAGAGAGCTCACACACTCCAACAAGACCACTCAGAAACACAGCAGTGGCTGGTGTCATTCAACTGAGCCTGACTGATTTCCGTCTCAGCTCCCATGTTTACAATGAAACTTACAGATACACCAGAAAACATAGCCCCATCTGTGCAGGGAAAACAGACAGACAAAACTTTCCAAACAACCAGAACCAAGCAACAGGGCTACATCTCCTCTTTTGCCATGGATGGGAGTGAAAGGATTTTGTA